AATATATGGTACCATAACATTCATTTTATTATTTTTGAAAAATTATTAAAAGGTAATAACTTAATATCCACTAACAAGATTTAAAAAAAAAACCTGCTAAAAAGAAATGACACCACCTAGGATTTAGCCTTGCATCAGAAAATTTCTTTGCTCTTAGAATCATTTATATTATTATCAGTCTTTTAAATGCAAGTGATTTTCTGTACTAATTTAGTAAAATTACAATTTTGACCCATTTTGACTTGTTTCCGACCTTATCAAATTTTGATTCTTAAAAACAAAATCTACATTTTGTTTATTCTTATAGCATATAACACTTTCTCATTTCAGATCGGAGACATAATTCATATAAAAATGTGTTAGGTGTTATATTAATATGATACATATCATGAAACATCCTCAGTGTATCACAGTATATCATGATACATTTCAGCTGTATTGTTGATATCTAATAAGCTGATTTTAGAAAATTTAAAAGATATCAAAATAAACAAAAGATCAAATCAGCAGTTTCATATCACACATCTGTGACTTAAAAATAAGTGAAGAAAAAGGTATTAAATATATGTAATAATACTTGTATTGTATACAACACTGAATGGATTAAAAATATTGCCAATAAACTGTATGTACTTAAGTACACCTAGTCGAAGTAGATATAAATTATCATGTGTAAATTAGAAGTGTACTATGAAACCTGCCATTTATCAAAAGTAATACTCCTTCTCCCTCTTTGAGGTGACATTTCCAGGAGACACACTATTGCTGTGATTTACCATCGCTTCGTCTGTATGACTGTCTGTGTGATTAGACAGGGAATTTTCCTGAGATGTTTTTGCTGCTGAGTGTTCCATTTCCTTTAAGAGTCCCCTGACACATGGTAGGAATTGTAAGACTGACTGGAGGTGACTGACACTTCCTTTAAGGTCCTGAATTGATGACTCACGGACTTCTGCCTCCTCTTCTAGTTGCTGAACTCGTTTTTTTAAAGTCTGTATTTCCCGATTTTTGTTCTCTTCTAATTGCACTAGCTGCTGATCACGGTCCAGTAATTCCTGATTCTGCTGCTGAATCATTCCTTCTAAGGACTGGATTTGTTGATGCATGGCATACAGATGCCTGTTTGCCTCATCTATGCTGCTTCTACTTAACATCCTAGAAAAGCAGCAAACTTCGTTATTATTAAACAATTGTTTAAACTGGAAATGAAACCATTGAATACACAGGTTGAGCTAACTACACAAAAGAACAACATGAAGATCTTAGGAGGAAATTCGAGCGGCGTGTAACAAGTTACCACACCCCCCTTGGGCAACATCCCTTTCACGGTCGTTGACAGCTGACGGAATATCTGGGCAAAACAAAATACTTCCAGTTAAAACCTTTTTTACCTTTTCTGTTTGTGTCACCTCTGAAAAATATTCGTCGTCAGCATCTGACAAGTGTATCTTGCTTTCGGTTGCACCAAAGGAAGTTTACGTTTACCGTGACATGCGGACGAAGTGAAAATTTTGTCCAATGAAAATTCTCGATATACATCTGTGGATTTATCTAGCCAATGACCTTTGGTGTTTTGTACTGCTATGGAAGACAGAAATACGCGCCATTATCAATACTCTGGTGAGCTGAGGAGAGGGAAATGACATTATGGCCAAAGTTAATATCAGCAATGTTGTTGTTTTAGATAATCCTTCACCGTTTCTTAACCCTTTTCAATTCGAGATAACTTTTGAATGCTTAGAAGATTTACCTGAAGGTTGGTTAAAGGCTTTTATTTATGGTATAAGACACAGGGGCTTGCTCCCGGCTTATAAAAAAAAGTATTATAAAAAAAAAATCAAGTACGAACGACTAGAACGTTTTGAATTTCTTATATAATATTTTTTTACACGCCGGGAGCAAGACCCTGAGGTATAAGAGGTGTTTGTTTGGAAAGGGGGATTACCTATTGTTCTATCGGTTTTAACGACATCCAGGCAAAGCGCCCCCTAACAAAACCGTACCGGTCAAAGCACCCCATGATTTTGGTCAAAGAGACCCCTAATATACTTTTACAGTAAGATGATGTTACAAAAACCACCCCCTGATTTTGGTCAAAGCACCCCCAAACTATTGGTCAAAGCGGCCCCTAACATATTTTATAGAAAAATTTCGTTTCAAATCCGTTCCCAAGCAATGGTCAAAGTGCCCCGTTTTTTTTTTGGTCAAAAGGCACACCCCTTAGATAATTTTTTTCTGAGATACTTCTAAATTCTTGCAAGCAAACATTTGATTGGATAATTGAAAGGTCACAAGGAGATGACCCTGAATGGGGTTTCTTCAGATCCTTGTGTAGCGATCTATGTTAGTGGATCAAAGGATCTGATTTTAATCAGATTGGGGAAAAAAAACAAAATATTATAAAAATTTAAACAGGGGTCCCAGTTTTAAGGGAGATTTTCATCGTAAATATTAGGGGTGCAACGATACACCAACTTCACGATACGATACGTATCACGGTAACTATTCAGTTCACAATACGATGCGTATCATGATGCATGACAAGATTAAAAAGGCTTTCAAGTTTGTCACCATATTTTTTTAAACTTGACAGGGGTATATCAAATGTTCATATTTTTTGATAATAATTAAAATGTCATTTTGTTAACTTTGTAATGAATTGGATTGATAGGTAGATCTTTGAGTTGTGACAATATTCTAAATAGTGGTGTTCCAATCATCGATTATAATCGAAAATCAGTCGATTGTTGGCATAATCCAAGCGCTCGATTACAAAATTTTTATTCTGATTAATCGGGTTATTTATTTTATTTTACAAGCATAATGGTTTTTAAGCTGAATATTCCAGCTGCGACTTGTCTATTAACTTATTTGTGCATCGTAATGGCGCAGACAAACAGACATTTTATTCATACCCGGGTAACAACGCTAATTCCCGGGTATGGACATACTTTGGATTCTACAAAATGAATGATGAACCAGCTGGACTAGTTAGAACGTTCTGTAGTTAAAATGATATTGTCCTACGGACTAAGGCTTGTCCCAAGACACAGTTAGATTATTCTAACTACAGGTGGACCACCACAGAAAGTAGTCATTCACCCATTCTTACCATTTAATAAACTAAACTGACAGACTTTGTAAATGTCCGATTATAATTGATAATTAGTTACAGTAGCCCGATCATCGATTATGAAATTCTTACCAATTCCCATCACTAATTCTAAACCAATGATGAACATTTACAAGGAACTACGAGGACCTAATAATCTTCCTTTTAAATTGGAATGAAAAAGAAAGACATTCATTCTTTTATTAACGTAGAAAACCAGTTGTCGTATTTCTCGTGTTAACACGTTTTAGTCAACAAGACAGCGAATTTTCATTGAAATACACGCATGATGAGATATCATGTATTACAAAAGAATACGTTAAGATCTAAAGGGTTTATCATTTGTCTTAACATCTTTAACTTTTAATCACATTAAGTCCTTCTCCTTGTTAAATCTGAGGTCTGTAAGACGCTGGAGATGAATTTAACTGCCGTTAATATGTTATCGTCGACCTCACGTTTTGCGCGGAAGCCATTTTGAAATTGTAAACAGGGGGAAAAAAACGGACGATTCGGATAATTCTGGACCGATTGAACTGAACAACAATATCAGTATAGCATATCGTGAATTGAACCATGGAAAATTATACTGCGATATACCGTCAAACGGTTTATCATTGCACTCTTAGTAAATATAGAATTACCTATGGAATGTATGCACAAGGCAGATCAGATAGATGATGTTTTACAAGTCTCTTCTGTCCATATCCAGTAAATGTTTAATTTGTCGTAAATTTATGATTCAAGATCGTGTGTATCTGGAGACTGTTCAGTAAGTTTACCCGGGGGTTGATATGTGCCTTAAGTTTTTCTTTAGCTTAATATGTTAACACTCAGTCTATGTGCTTGTGTGCCTGGTGTGGACAGTAGAAGCAGTGACTAATATTACCAATTTAAGATAACTTAGTCAACAAGTGCAAATATGGATGTAGTTCATTATTTGTGTGAAAAAAAACAACTCAAAACATTAAAATATCAACTCTTAATTGTTAGAGAGAGGTGTATGTGTTTTAATTTCAGGCAAAGTGGCAAGTCTATTAAACTGGTCTATTGAACCTTGACTTGAAACTTCACCCAGTCTTCTCACAGTTCTATCATTGATTTCCTACTACTTCAACTACTTCACATTTCTTAGATACACGAGATAGGAAAACAAACCAAAGATTGACCTAACGGTTTTATTCCCTGGACATAGTGCAAACTAAAAACTTACCTCCAACATAAATAGATATGAACAATATTAATATTTGTATTTATTTAATTCATATGTTGGCCCTTGTCCAAGTATGACATCATATTTATAATTAAAAGATATAGATAAATAATTGCATACGGATTCAAAATTATAACTTTTTTAAGCAGTAGTACGCACAGACTAGTGATTTCCAATTTTTTGTAGTCTGCAAAGCATTTCATTAGTCCACCCTCTGTCATATGAAAATGAAAACATGAACGAAATATTGGTTTTCTCCCACAGGTGCTTGTGTGGACAGGACCCCCACCCCAACCCACAAATATATTAGGGCTGTATCAATATATCGATACGTATCGAAAAAATAACTTCCAATACATATCGGACAGGAAGATTTTCTTATAATTCTGTGAAAAAGTTGGGAATTTCAATCACCAAAGGTTATATTTTCACTGTTTTGAATCAAAATTGATCAATAATGATATAATCATTAAGGAGATAGCACATCTTACTAGATAAATATTATAAAATACATAGACAACTTTATCTTAACGTCGTTTTTACAGACATAAAAAGTTTGAATTTGAAGTGTAATTTGTAGAGATAGTGAGACAAAACCTTTGAAATGGGTTATAAAACAATTAGTTTTTATAAAATTCATGCATTAAATAATTCATTAGAATTTTTTTTGATAGACTTGTTAAAGAATCCAATATGTATCAGAGAAGCGCATTATAAAATATTGTAAAGTATCGTATCAAATTTTTTTGCTCAATAAACGGCCCTAAAATATATTCCCAGAGTTCAAGGATATTTTGTCTTCTTTCATAAATTATTCTTCTAGCACACATTTGCAATGTATTCCTTGTGGAATTCCCAAAAATCACACCTGCAGTATTGTATGATTGGAGAAAATAAATCGCTTTTGTTTGTTTACCTACATTGGACCCCTCTTGGAAATCAGGCCAAAAATATCATATACCTAATTCCTGCCACCAAAATGTGTTATCATATCTTGTTTCGGTAGATAATTTAATTGTCAATACATTTCACAATAATCCAACTGTTCTTCATCAAACGTGAAAAGTGTTACAAAAGTTGGAATGTTAAAGCAGAAAATACGAAAGTGGTGTGATATTTTGATAGTTTTGCGTGTTATGAAATCAAGGGAAAAGCAAGAGGTCCTCTAAGCAAGAGGGAAAATTTTGATAAAGAAGCTAAAATTGATTCAATTTAATTTTGCTGCAGGTTTTCAAGATAAGTCAGAATTTTTTTAGGGGTCATAAGGGGCCTGTATTCTGCCCCATGCCCAATGGTAAAAAGTATGTGTTCTTCCCAATTTCAAAAAATGAAAATTCCCAAAAGACAATCAAAACAAACAAATATGGTTTTAAAAATGTCTGAACTCAGTAAAATGTAGGGCTGAAATGATACTCCCCCTCCATGATACGGTACATATCACGATACTTGTGTCACAATTCAATTTTTTCAATACGATACATTTTAAAGAAGAAACAAATCATAAGGTTAAGGAAAACGTATTCAGATTTCAAAAGGCAAGTAAAAGGTGGTGATACAATAAAGAGCACTACTTGTGCTTCTGTAGATAACAAGAGCACTTTGTTCGTGTCAATACTAGCAGTGGCAGCCTGCTCTGAAACTTTCTCCGACGCAATTTTCTGAATGTGTGTCAAACTGTTAAAATAAGGTCAAACCAATCTATTTCAAGGAGTAACCAAAACCGGATTATAAATAAATGTACCGAACCGAAAATCGAGATAGTGAATCGAACATTGAACGGAGCAGTAATATTGAACAATATCGATATTTCGGTGAATCGTTTCAGCCCTAGTAAAATGTATATATCAGGAATGGTGTTCAAAAAAAATCTAAAAGGCATGTTCACTACAAAAACTGATCGACTGAATGAAAATAAGTCAATAAATACCTTGCAAATAAAAAAAATAACCACTTATTTGAATTTACTTAGAAAAATGTTAATTTGATATTTTTCCGAATTTCAACCAAATATCGCTATTTTTTCCCAAGTGATAAGGCCAAAGCCCTGGATTTTAAGACCTAAAAAACCCCTGTAAGTGAGGTCAGTGGTCAGTTTTCTTTTTAAAGTACTTTTTCTATTGATGATGACTACTGGTAGTTGGATTATTGTGGAATGTATGGACAATCATATAGCAAAAATATTTTTTGTTACGTCACATTCATAATTGATTTAAAAGAACAGTAAATACAGTTAGTTATTCATTTTTGTTCATTTTTTTTCCCGTAAATGTTTAAAATATGGAGTTATATGAAGTGTCTTTTAGGGGTTAAAACAACCAAGTTCTATATTGCGTTATTGATAGAGGAAAAAATGAAAAAAAAAGTTGGTTGACATTTTTGTGCATTTAGGGGTATTAGTCTTACCCTGACCTATTTATGTTGACGACCAGTAACCTTCAGCTCATTGACAACTATTGTGTGTGATAACTGTAATTGTTCAGTGAACTTCAGTGTGTTTTAATTAGCATGACGTGTCCAGTACACATCATCATGTGTGATTAACCATATGTTGCATCACTAATTTTTATAGTGTGAAGATACAATCCAGTATTGATTCCTGCAGAGATTCTGAGAACTTTTGCTGTAAAAAAAAAAAAAGAAAAAAAGCTTGAAAATGGATGAAATGTGTATATTACTTTTTTCCTCTAATTAGTTTAAGAAAGATGGTTTCATATGAAAGTGAATGAAAAAATGTAACTTTTGTAAGGTGACTATAACCTCTCTCTCTCTCTCAAATCTGACAAAATTTTAATATTTTGTGCCAGTCCTTCCCTAGGTTGGTCCTTTATTTCGTGGGTATCATCATACAATGAAAACAGCAAAAATTGAACCCTCCCCCCTTTCCAATGAAAATTTGTGATTTCTTAATATTTTTTGTAATCATGTAACATTATAAATGACTTTAATTAAATAACTATAAAAATTGATATATTTTTTCCCATAGATTTGGAGTGGAAGATAATTTATGTAGGTGCAGCAGAGAGTGAGGAGTATGACCAGACACTGGACTCTGTGTTGGTCGGCCCTGTTCCTGCAGGGAAACATATGTTTGTATTTCAGGTAAGCTTACATGTTCCATCAAAAATGCCAATTATAAATTTTGTTAATGTTTTAGCAATCATCCAGACTTCATGATTCCAACTCCTCTACCTGTTGTTTATCCTGTATAAATAGGCTTTTGATTCAAAGGTCTTTTAATAGATACAGAAATTTATGAAATATAAAGCAAATTATCCTCACACATGCATTTATCATGACTTCTGATCTTTGTAGGCTGGTCCCCCAGACACAGTAAAAATACCAGTACAGGATGCAGTGGGTGTAACCGTAGTCCTTCTGACTTGTTCATATCGCAGCAAAGAGTTCATCCGCGTGGGATACTATGTCAACAACGAATATTCTGACCCTGAGCTTAAAGAAAATCCACCAAGTTCTCCTCAGTATGACAAGGTAGGCTTTAACGAGGTTGGATCCTGATATTTAAAGTCTTAAACTTTTTTTGTCAAGTATATGTTTAGTTTCTACACACATAGCTTATTTAAAAATCAAAACAAAAAATGGGGGTCAATATGCTTCTTTTGGCGCTACAGTACATTTAATATGACCTTTTTGCACTGAAATTTGTGTCTTAATCAAAAATCACATCTTTGATGTTTTTCCTCCAGTGTTTTTATCCAAATAGATCAAAAATAAACTGTTAGTCTATTTAAAAAAAGACACATCAAAATTGTGACTAAGAAAAAGTTTCAAATTGCTTCACATAATCAATTATTTGACCTTTCTGCAGTCACAAAACGTGATTTTTCTGGCATTAAAAATTTAACAAGCAAGAAAATTATTTTAAAGTCTTAAACTTTTGCTGAATTTAAGCAGATTGATCAAATTTATTATACGCCCATCTTTAGACGGGACGTATAATGTTACGGCGTTCATGTCCGTCCGTCTGTCTGTCTGTTAGCTTTTCTCGTGTCCGGCTCATAACTTTAATACTATTAGGCCAAGGATTATCAAACTTTGTCAGCTGATACTTCTTGGGTAGAAGGTGTGTCGCGCACCAAAAGTAGGTCGTTCTGACCTTAAATTAAGATGCTATGGCCAAATATGGAAAAATCCCCTCCGGCTCATAACTAGAAAACTATTAGACTTAGAATCATCAAACTTGGCCAGTTTATGCATCTTAGGTAGAAGATGTGTCGCGACCTATTTCAAGGTCACTGTGACCTTTAATTTAAGTGAAATTTAAAAAAAAAACTGTCTTTTTACTATTAAAGTACACAATCCCAAAAAATGTAAAAGTGTTGCAGTATCCTTATTAAAAAAATGTTAAAATCAAGAAATACTTATTTTTTTCATTATATACTTTACAGCAATCTATAACAAATATAATGTTACAAGAGAAATTCCACCTCTCCCATGGGTGTAATTATCAAGCACTGGTCAAGGAGAATTTTGATAACAGAAAATTGCATGTCAAATTAGAGAGAAATGAATGAGTTTAGTGTGAGGAGCTAACTGGTAGAGCATCTCTGATCAAGCAGGTGTTATCTATAAGGTATCACACCGGTAATTGACCAATCAAAATGAACTTAGTCAATTGTAGTTCCATACATAATAAAGAAATATTTTTTTTATTGTGAGAATTTTTTTAATTTCCCTTATTCTATTTTTACATTTTTGGTATCTGTGCTTAGGATATTTTATGTACTTTGTAAAATATTAAAGGTTTTTGACAGGAACTATTTCTTTCGGGGCATAGGAGGCCACTTCCTGGGGTGCACACAGGATGTTTATAAACACATTGAATACACGTGGTTTTGAGGGTATTCCTGTTTGCGGATGGAAAAAATCAGAAAATGCCGTGTAGGTACCCTATTTTTTGGTGTCAGCTGATGTGACTGGTAACGTTTAACACTTCCTGCTAAATATTTTTTCATGCATTCGAATACCTGATTTTTAATGATTTTTTTATTCTATATAGAATTACATAGTGAAAACAATTACCGGTGTGATACCTTGTATCTCTTGGGAATTGGGCAGAGGAATCAGCCATGTTGGATTAAATAGTTTTTGTGGGCTAGCCTATCTTTTAAAATGAATTTGGTGAAAAGTAATTAAAACTAATTTGATATTGTATAATAAACTAATTTGATATTGTATAATAAACTAATTAATTAAAACTAATTATACTTGGGGGGGGGGGATGATATTGGAATTAGCATGCCCGTTGTCCATATGAATTGCAGCTTAAAACCAGTCTGACATTGAATCTAAAAAAACAACAACAAGTATTTAAAAAAAAGTTTTAATTATGGTAGATAGTCCCTACAAATCTAAGAGTCAAGCAGAAACCTTATTAAAAATGTTGCATCAAGATTACAATTTTTTTTTCTTTTTATAAATCTTTGTAACAAATCGAAAAAAAAATGTTTGTTTTCAAATTTAATTTCAGAATGACATATATATGGATTTTAATTGCACTACAAAGCAGATAGCGCAGATCCATTCATCCCTTGGGAGTTGGACATGCATCCAGTTAAAGATTAATTAATGAGTTCAGTGTAGGAAGGCTAGCTGTCTCAATCATTTCTGTTAGAGCATCTCTGATCAAGCAGTTCTTATCTGTATCCTTTGGGAATTAGACAGAAGAACTGCTGGTCAGTTTATAGCATATGTCATTTGATGGCCAGTCTTTTATTTTGAAATTAAATTGGTATAGATTAAGTTGTTAAGACTAAATTGATATTGTTTAATATGATATTTTTATTTAATTTTTTGAAAATATCAACTGGCAAATTTCAGAGCATCATGTCTCACAAATATGAAAGATGTCTGGGGGGGGGGGGGGGGGGGGGGGGGCAGATGGGCATTTGTCAAGCTCTAACACTACCATTTGAGGATCTATAATGTAATATTTGTTATAATGCGTATACCACAGGAAATGTATAAACAAAGATTATAAGAAATGGAAAAATCTTGGAAATCCTTGTATCAAGGTTGACTTGATTTTCTTGCACTCTAAACTGTTCGTGATAATTGAACAATATTTGACGGGCGTATCATGCTGTGGCGGGGCACTTTATCTTATATATTAAGGAAAAAACAAAAGTGGGAGTCTATGTTGTAAATTTTTAGATATTACTAAAAAAGTTAATTTTATGTTAAAATTGGCTCAATTTTTCCCTGGACTGTCAGAATATATTTACTATATTTGTCACAATATAATGAAAGAATTCAAAAGAAATAAAATTTGATAGATAAAACATTTCGCTGCAAAAAACAGCTGTTTGCAACCATCATGTAAGAATAGGAATCTAAACTTAACAGTACTGTATATATTTCAAAAGGAAAAAAATGATAATTTTCTCCTAAAAAACCTTCCTCCACAGAATATAGTTCCTGACATAATCCTATTTGAATAGAATTTGATCGTGTTTTTTTCATTGGATATATAGTTTAATTTGCATTGTAGAATCCAGATTTAACAATGTTTAATGTTAGAACTTAAAAATGATGCAGAATTTTAGAAATAAAGGTCCAGACCAAAATCTGCTCAGAAGCTCAGGATCGAACCTCCTTAAGAGGAGGGAATTTAGGTTTACAGTGATTGTGGTAGACTTTAAGAGGAGGGAATTTGGATTTAGTGATTGTGGTAGGCTGTAAGAAGAGGGAATTTGGATTTAGTTATTGTGGTAGGCTGTAAGAAGAGGGAATTTAGGTTTAGTAATTGTGGTAGGCTGTAAGAAGAGGGAATTTAGGCTTAGCAGTCTATGTGAAAGTCTAAAATTTTTACAGGACATAAGGTCTGGTAAAAATATATATTTTACCAGACCAAGCATTTAATTATCAGACCAACTTTTTTCTTTAAATTCACACATACTTATGATGCTGAGATTGATTAAAAGGGAGGGGGAAAATTCTCATTGTGAAAATGAATCTTGAGTAAATCCAGAGAGTTATGGTTATAAAAAATGATTTGAATGAAATGAACAAGGTTACTATTATTAATTTTTCTTGGTAAAAGGTAGTATATAATTGCATACAGTTTTCTCTTTTTGGTTATTGGATTCATATAAATGAAATACACAGTGTTAAAGTTTTTTTAAAACTTAAAATGCACTTTAAATATATATTTAATAACTCATAATGGTTACTTTTAAGTAACTTTTAAATAATGAAAATAATTTCCCCCAACCAAATCTACATATGAGCTATCTATAGATCTCTATTCCATAACAGAGAAAATTTAAATTAGAAAAAAAAAAAAACAATCCTGATGATGACAGGGTTGTTATAGATAAAAATAAATCATGCATTGCTGCTAAATGGGCCAAATAAAAGATATGTGTGGAAAATAAGACCATGTGTACATGTAAATTCAGATTGTTATGGCCTATTTTTTTTTTCAGACAATCGGTCCTGAATCCTGAAATTTTTTTCCAACCGGAACCAAATTTTACTGGTAAAAAACCGACGGTCCGGTGGCTTTCGCATCAACTGGTTTAGTGATTGTGGTAGGCAGTAAAAGAAGGGAATTTAGGTTAAGTGATTGTGGTAGGCAGTCAAAAGAGGGAATTTAGATTTAGTGATTGTGGTAGGCAGTAAGAGGAGGGAATTCAGGTTTATTGATTGTGGAAGGCAGTTAGAGAAGGGAATTTAGGTTTAGTGATTGTGGTAGGCAGTTAGAGGAGGGAATTTAGATTTAATGATTGTGGTAGGCAGTAAGAGAGGGAATTTAGGTTTAGTGATTGTGGTAGGCAGTAAGAGAGGGCATTTAGGTTTAGTGATTGTGGTAGGCAGTAAGAGGAGGGAATTTAGGTTTAGAGATTGTGGTAGGCAGTTAGAGGAGGGAATTTAGATTTAGTGATTGTGGTAGGCAGTAAGAGGAGGGAATTCAGGTTTATTGATTGTGGAAGGCAGTTAGAGAAGGGAATTTAGGTTTAGTGATTGTGGTAGGCAGTTAGAGGAGGGAATTTAGGTTTAGTGATTGTGGTAGGCAGTAAGAGAGGGAATTTAGGTTTAGTGATTGTGGTAGGCAGTAAGAGAGGGCATTTAGGTTTAGTGATTGTGGTAGGCAGTAAGAGGAGGGAATTTAGGTTTAGAGATTGTGGTAGGCAGTTAGAGGAGGGAATTTAGGTTTAGTGATTGTGGTAGGTAGTAAGAGGAGATAATTCAGGTTTAGTGATTGTGGTAGGCAGTAAGAAGAGGGAATTTAGGATTATTGATTGTGGTAGGCAGTAAGAGGGGGTAATTTTTGTTTAGTGGTTGTTGCAAAATGCACCACTTCACAAAAATGCATCTCAAAAAATTGCAGGGTTGCTGGAAATTATTTAAGATGGTGGGACAAGGAAATATACTATTTTATTTATCAGAATATATATTTTTTTCAGGTGGAGAGAAATATCCTAGCCACCAATCCTCGAGTGACAAGATTTAAAATAGATTGGGATGACACTCAAGGTACAGATACAGAAAATGTACCTCCCACCAACAGTACAGAATCAGAATCCAATCAAATGAAAGACGCCACGTTATCAAACAGTAGTAAACCACTGGCCGCCACATTTAGTACAGAAAGTAACAGTAATATGGAGGTCAACTGACATTGCTCAAAGGGTCATAGGTCATCTCTACGGCAGCACTCACTCAATAGATTGCACTACTATGACACTACCTGCAGCTAATTATCAATTCATGATGAACTGGGTTAATTATTGTAAAATTTGTTGTAATTTTTGTTTATGGAAAAAAAAATTCTTCAAATTGTGGCATTACCAGTGTTCTGTTGGGGTTGAATTAGGAGAGAAAATAGGAGAATGAAAAAGATCATGTTTGAAATTATGCAGTACACAGTGTAAAATCTCGTCATTTTATATTTCATTGTCGCCAAGAAATTCCGATTACTGGGACTCTTCTAATTGGGTTGAAACTATTGATTTGATAAATTATCCAAGTTCAGGGGAGATAATGTTTTACTGAACGTTGTAATATTTTTTTTATCTAGTATTTGAATTGTTTTATATTTATAAGTTAAGTAGAGGAAAGGAATGTAATAAAAAAGCGAGAATTTTGATTTAGTTTTGCAGATACACATGTGATGTAAAGTGATCAACACCATATTTATTTGATTCATTGTAAAAGACTCCATTCTTTCTGGATTAACACTAGGATATTTAGTGACGCACAAGTAAAATTTATGGTGATAAAAAAACATGATTAATTTATACAAGTCATTGTAGCTCAACAATGTACTGTATTGTACCTCAGAAATCATGCTTTATCAATTAGTGTATTAATTACTGTTACATTGTGAAAAATTGAAACCTCGTGTGGGGTATTCTAATAAAAAATGTGATAAATTGAAGCCTTAATCTTTGTTATAAATGTACTTAATCCAGTATATATGCCAAAATTCAAGGTTTTTGTTGGTCTTTTACTAGACAAGAAATGTCTTTTGAAATAAAAGATGCATTGAGCCAGTGTTAACTCAAGAATTATTATTTGATCACAAAGCATTCATTCTGCAGATTATTTTTGGTATGTTCTCAGACTTAATGGAGTTTGGATTTAAACATCATAGGAAGGTAGTTCTTTGTTTGAGGCTTTTCATTCTTGGATGAAAAATGAAACAGGGACCTATATACTATATCCCTGATTGAAACGATGAATTGGTGCGGGAAAACAAAAATTAGGGGACACCCGGGTTCGAACCGGGGACCTCTCGATCTGCAGTCGAATGCTCTACCACTGAGCTATATCCCCTGTCGATGAGGAGAGGAAATTTGTTGATTAAATACTACTCAATTTTTTCAGACCAATGCATCAAACGATTATTTCATTAAATAATTTTACAAAATTAGTAAGACATTATTCAGAACACGGACACCTTTTGTGTGATCAATATTATTTTGCTGTGTATTTTATTGACCGGTGTACGTCATTTTCTGCAGTTGCTAAGAGCAACCGAAAGAAGCGTATGATACGGGGATTTTCAAATATGGCGTCTTTCATAAACTAGACCGAGCACTTGCTTGATCTTGTGTAGGATTTCTTAAATTTAAAATATTTTAAAATAAAGGTAAGAAGAACAATACCAAAACAAGAAATTAATTTTTTTTTATTTAGCTTTGCTCAGCTAGAGAGTGAAAAAGGAAGCGACTTGCTTTTGAATGTTAACATGATATGATTATAAAGATAGGCGTCTATTAAGTTTTGAATTTACTGTGCATCCACTAACAGTCATGCATCTGAATCAAAATATAATCTTAAACACAGAAAGGTAATATTTAGAGATGTGAAGACTTCATAAGCTTACAACAGCCTTTTAAGATTATGATAAAAGAAATGTTAATTTGTACAGTTTCATTCCGAAATTCCTCTACTGTTACGTATTATGAATCATACGATGCACAGTGTTTAAAACTCATCGTAAAATTACCTAGAAATGCAGGGTTCATTACTAGTAAAAATTTGTCAGCCCTGCCAAAGATCTGTAATATAGCCCAATTAAAAAAATGCCTATGTCAAAAATAATTTTTATTACACATGTAAAACCACCAATGTAAGTTTTTACGTCATCAGCTTTGCACCTTGCTAGGGCACATCTCAATTCTTCTGTTAAAGTGATTATGAGTATGACTAAAAAAATGGTCAGCATAACTTTGATCCCAAATATATCCATATAGGCCTATAGACCAATAGGTCTGCCATTCGGCTTGTTATGCTTGGCTAACTGTACAATTAGTCAATTTGTCTATTATTTAAGACAGATTTCTGAATGTAAATGTTTTAATCAGTGGAAATTTTAACACTTCCAGCTGGGCCTGGATACAAACAAGTTTGTTTGTCTGTGCCAAAGTGAAGCGTCTTGAGCTGTCAGGCACAAATTATTTCAAACTCTGTGATGCATCAGTTTCTCTTGAACCTATTACAATGTACTTTCAAAATCCTATGCTGTTACAGATTATGAATCATATTATGCATCAATGCTCTTTTACATTTTGTAATTCCGTGTGTTTTCTATTTTAAGTCATGGACGATACTTCAGAAAAGGAGAAAAAGTCAGCAGAACAAAATGAAAAAGATCAGGTAACTATAGTTATAGAATGTGCATAAAAAGAAAATCTTTGTTGTTTCTGCTGGTTTGACTGAAATCAGAACATGATTTATTATATGTTTAATATCTTTCTAGGATACTGCTGGGAAGAAAACGCCCAAATCCGGTAAACCAGGAAGTGGAAAAAGAGTGTCCAGTGGTCAGAAAAGTCCCAAAGGTGGGAAAACTGAGAAGGGAAGAGCCACATCCTCTAAAGGTTTGATTTCTTTGTGAAAAAAGATAAAAAAAATGAATAAAAAGCAAGTATAATCTTGTGTTAATTAATTTCTACTGTACAGATAAAAAAATGAAACAATTACATATCCTTGTATGGAGAAGGTTTTCGTATTTGTTTAGCAGTGGTAGTGACTTTTTTTCAGGGAATGTGAAGCCAAAACAAGCTGAAGAAAAGAAGGCAGAGGAAGCTCCGGAGGAGGAGGGAGAGGAAGGTTAGTTGATTGTTTTCTAGGAGGGAGGGGAAGATAAGTTGATCATGTTGTGGGAAAGAGAGAAAGGTTACCAGGGTATTTATGTTGTTGGAGTAGAAGAGGATTGATTGTGTGTATGTTGTTAAGATTTTTTTCATTCATATAGAAACATCACCAAATATCAGTGAAGGGCTTCAAATTTAAACCATTACTCAGCACACTGCAAAGATCTGCGACTTTCACTTCAAAGTGCCAAGCACTAGGCAAAGGAAAAATTACTATACCTATTTTTTTATTGACTAAGGTCTGTCGTGGCTGCGGTCTTAAACCCACAACCTTCTGAGGAGAAGAGGAAGATTAGTTTATTATTGGGGGTGGGGTGGGGTTGTATATTGTGTTGTGGGAGTGAGAGGAGGGTTGTTTAATAGGAGGGAAGGGAAGGTTAATTGATGTTTAGAAGAGAGGGGAAGGTAATTTTTTGTGTTGTGTGGAAGGTGATTTATTGTGTTATAGGAGGGAGAGGAAAGTTAATTTATTGTTATAGAAGATGTAGAAGCTGCTAAGCAAATAAGACAGTTAATTGTTTTGAAAAAGGGTCAGGATGTGAAAGCTATTGCTTTGCCTGACAAAGAAGTATGTTATATAGTATTGATTTTGTATACAATGAAATTTTTAGGAATTTAAAGTTTAAGTTTAAATGTTCCTCATTGTTTCAGGTCTTCCTGAGGGAGTTGTTGCTCTTTTTCTCTCCTCTAAGACTCAGGAGATTTTTCACTGCCGTGCTGACCAAGACGTTACGGAAGAAAATCCGATCAAAATAATCACCAAACAGGAAATTCTGGATGATATGCGTAACAGAGCTGCAGTCTGTGACTTCCATCCCATCAAACAAGAAATTATTGTAAGTGAGAGAATCTACTAACAGCAATATCTATGCTAACTTCTGAATTCTCTGTTCAATGGGTTGTAGTTCCATTCAGGTATAGATATTTGGTCATTTATTCACTCTGAATAAATATATTCAAAAAAGAGAACAATGAATTATGAATTGAAAGTAGGGCAGAAAATATCTGCAATTTCAAAATCATTCAAAACCGGTTGGCAGGAGATGCTCACTCCTCCATGGCACCTGATCCCACCTCTGATGTTTTTTTAGAGGTCTGTGTTTGCTCTGCTCCTGATTTGTATTGTTTGAATGGACCTTTGAGCTTGAATACTGTTCATTATCTCCATATATTTCATTTTAATACAATGCAGTGCATCAGTGGGGTATGTCAAACAGTATATTTACAAAAAGATTTTGTCTACAAGATCAGTGAGGTCAAAAGCAGGCTTTGGGTAATGCTAAATCTAATGGTAATGCATTGCAATGCATTTTATACTTGAATCAATGCTAGTAATGTGTAAAATTCCAAAAAAAAAATCTTAATTACATGTAATGGTAATATAATGTATTACTTTTTAAAATCTAGAGTAATACTGGCATTACACAGCATTACAATGAAATATTTTGTGTATATGTATTTTTTTTAATTAAAAATGGACATGGAAATCATTGATTACATTCAATTAATTTTAAAAATAATAATAATGAATTTAAAAATTAAGCTTATCGAAATAAACTTTCTGTGTAATTAAATACACTTTAACTTTTATTATATTTAGAACTCTTGTTTTTCTTTATTGATTTTGAGTTTATGGTTGACAGGATTATCCTACAGATGAAATTTTGGTGGTGTATGATTTTGACTTCAAGTATGGACAGAATTTCTACTGCGCCATCACAGAGGAAGCCAAAGAGAAGATACTTAATGTAGGTTTTGTTTGTTCTATGTCTTGTTGCCTTGAAACTTTCTTATTATCATAAAGCAAATGGGATCAGTAAAAATAGGGAAAAAATCTCAATATATTGATTTAAAAAATTATGAAAGAGCCCATATACATGTGATGTATAAATTATATAATTTATGAGGCAATTGTTGAGTGTAAACAATTACCACAAAGATGGATGTGACCAGAGTAATATTGAAATTAATGTAGATAACAGGAAGATTGTTTTTATATTTCAGCCCCATGGACCAGACGGTGGGGAGGGAGGAGTCCAGGAAGAGGAAGTGATCTACACGTATATACCCCCCGAACCTAAAGACTGGGTGTCATTGGGGAGTGAGAAAGAAATCAAAGAGGAGAGTGTTGTAGAAAATAGACGAAGGGTAAGTGTGATTAAAAGTGTGGTAGAAAATAGACAAAGGGTAAGTGTGATTAAAAGTGTCATAGAAAATAGACGAAGGGTAAGTGTGATTAAAAGTGTCATAGAAAATAGACAAAGGGTAAGTCTGATTAGGGGGTGAGAATTTATACAAAGGATAAGTCTGATATTATGATGGGATAAAGTGTAAGTCATGTGATTTTACATGTGTTAAGAGTAAGTCTGATTATGATCAAGAGTTAGGCAAAGGATAGACCTGTCAGTTTTATTTATCATAGCCACAAGATCAGAAGGTGTGCTATATTGTTATCAGAATATAAAAGGATGATCAAGCAGACTATAACATGGATAAGTTTAAATTTATATCACAATATTTAACATTTTCAAATATTTTCCTTAAGATTCTTTGCAAATTATAAAACAGTTCATTTTCTCATGAGCTACCATTAATGAGTAAGAACATTTCCATTGTGATGTCATAATATCGTACTTGACATCAAAACTATGTTGCAAATTTGTTTCAAAAATGATCGTTGAATGACAAAAATTTGTGGCATTATAGTCATCAGACAAATAATGTAAATAAAACATATGAATTTAATTTTGGAGAATTCATGACATACAGGAACTACAACGCTAATCTGCTTCATAAAATATGCCAGTGTGAAGTGTTCTAGTTCAGGTCTTCATGAATTCTCCAAAGTTAAATTTGTTTCTTAATTTGAACTTTAAGATGAAACACATACATTCTAACATGTATTTGTTATGCTCCATATGTAAATGTTCCTCTTATGATACAATATTTAATGGATATTTTGTACCTTAAGTCTCTTTATTACCGGTAACTTACATGTATATCAGACCTGTTTACTCTTACGATTTCACCGTATTTTGTACGGATTTTCAGTTCCAAAATACGTCTTACGTTTTGCTATAACGAAAATACGGAAATCCGTTCATATGGATTTTAACAATTAGTTTTCGTTATCTGTCTCAGTTTGACGCTTTTTAATCGCTAAAGAAGAGAAAATTTTCAAACACTTAAGTTGCCAAAACGTGGTGGTTTAAAAAATGACAGAAATCACTCAAAAGAGAGCAGTGTATGACGTTTTGCTTTGTTATTAAACCATGTTTTGGTAATCAGAAATGTAGTTGTTTTCTAGTGATATATGTACAGTCGATGAAAAGTGAAATCTTACGGGCAAATGCCAAATCTCACTGACAAATCTAATGAAAAATACTGAGAGACAACAATTTGGATAAACAGGTCTGGTATATCGTTCAAGTCAGTAATTTTATAAGATATGAAAATTTGAAATTGAATTCAAATGCTTTATTTAATTAAATAATGTGCAATTTTATTCAATCAAATGTAAAATGTTGGACACTACAGAAATAATAGATTCATTATTTGAAGGGGTTTTTCCAAGTTGTCCATATCCATTTGTAATTTGAATAGTGTATCAAGATTGTTTGATTCACAGAGCCATCAGTTTTGTTTTATGTATGACAGATTAAGGTATCAGTAAAGAGGGTTCGTAAGGAGTTTGGAGCACCTTACAAATTCAAAGATCGCAATGTGGCGGATGCCAAGGATGGTTGTATTGATTGTGCTTCATTTGATGACAGAACATTTGACCTCAAAAAAATAGAACTGGAAAAAAGTATTCAGGTAAATGTCATCTTTTACTTTATTAAAATTCATTTGCATACAAATGTATTTGAAAAATTAAAAAATTTTGGTTAATATTAGAAGTACTTTCCCCAACTTGATGTTCCATGATTGTGTTTCCTTAGTCTATCCCTGAGTGTGTGGACCAGGGGACCCAGACCGACTGGAAATACCCCCGAAATAACTGTACTCAGTACCAACCCAGAGAGTTCTCACAGAAGGAAAAGGAACAGTTAGAAAACTCCAAAAACCTCCAAACATCTGTGGAATCTGTCACACAAAGGTAACAACACTCTGCAATTCCACTCTAGTCTCTGTCACTCTGTATTCTTATTCAAAAACTAAATGTAATTACATATTTTGGATATATTCCTTCTCGTGTTTTTTTACTACTTTGAATTTTTTTTTCGTTGGACAGATTTAAGCTGGCCCTACAACAAAATGAGATTATGGACGTGTTCTACATTGACTGGCTCCATCTTGGGGATGCTGAGGGCAACTTTGGTAATAAGTCAGACAATCACCTTAAGGTAGTGTATAAAACTAGCAAGGGGAAATAACTAATGATTCTGAATCTGATAGCTTATCTTGCAGTGATTGTAAGCCTGGATTTATTGTTGTTAATTATTGGTGTATATTAACACAGGAGTACCAGTCGTTTACAGATCTTCAGTTTAGTAAAGAGAAGAGTATTACCTGTATACAATGGCATCCCTCAATTAAAGGTAAACACTGACGATTCACAGGTATAGTTAACAGATCTTACATGAAATCAGTTAAACAGAAAGCATCCTCGTGACTAATACTGTTTTGTTCTGTAGGGGTTGTGGCAGTCTCGGTGGCGGAGAAAATGACATTTGACGAGAGAATTGACTCGGCAGCCAAAGTCATTATGACTCCTTCCCTTATTCTTATCTGGAGTTTTACAGACCCCATACATCCCCAGGTGAAGACTTGTATAATAAGTTTGCTCTCTTATTCAGTGGATATTGATTAATTGAGGATAGGATGGGCTTTAGAAATATTATTTGTATTTTTTAGTTGCTGCTTGAGGCCCCAGATGATATCTACAGCTTTCAGTTCAGTCCATCAGATCCCAACATAATCTGTGGAGGATGTTACAATGGCCAGGTAGTTCTGTGGGACATCTCTGCCCACGCAGACCGACTTAAGCAGCCTCGAGGAGGGAACAGGAACAAAAAATCTAATGTTTTGGTGAGTTTTGATTTTTGGAAATTGTCATACTTTATTTAATGTGGAATACAGTTTTAAAAGGAATAAAATGGAAACACAGCTAGAATAAAATATATTTTCATTGTTGAAATTTGTGTATAAGTAGTGAAGTAGTGATCTTATTTTGAGGTACTTGATTATTTGTAGCCTGGATTTGAGGACCCTAATGCCCTGAAAACTCCAATAGTGAGATACTGTGCTGTGTCCAGTATAGAGAACAGTCATAGGGCGGCCATCACAGACATACAGTGGGTCCCTGACCACATGGAGGTAAGATATACTGATGTCCAGTATAGAGAACTGTCTCAGGGCTGCCATTACAGTTAGTCCATGGTCACAATTACAACTACAATGAACAAACTGCACATGTGAAGTTGTTAGATGTTAGGCAAGCCCAAGGCAAGCCAGATTATCTTGATTTCTGATCTCGTTGTTTTGACTTTCATCGGATTTTACAAGAACTCTTTCTGTATTTTGTATGTGACTGTGATGATTTTTGTAGGTGAACAGAATGGGAGTTCCCCAGGAGAACAAATCCATGCAGTCCTGTCAGATCATGACATGTGCCGCAGATTACAGTATCCTGTTCTGGGACACGAGGCCCCCCAAAGGGCCAGGACAACTCAACATTGCCACCAAAACAGACAAAAATGATAAATCTCAAATGGGAGTTCCTACAACATTCAAACACCTAGATCTATCCTGGAAGCCAATGTTGAAGGTAAACTTCTTAAGGAATTCAATGTATATATTTCATATCCTTGTAAGGTAGCAATACAAGCTTCATACTTTAGTATATATGTACTGATGTGCAGTGTACAAGTTTCTAATGGCTGTTCTCTGGCTATTTAGGTCCATCTCCACAAATCAGAACCAGGGGGAGACCATGCCCCAATGAAGTTCTCTATACAGGAGAAGCAGGGGGACAGAAAAGCCCGTAAGTTATTTATTGTAGCCATTATTAAACTAAAGTTAATTCCAGTTTATAAGCACACAAATCCCCTAGTGTTAATTTATATATTTAAGATTCAGCATGCTACAAGAGTTTTTAGAATTGTTAGTACATATGTGAAATGTTGTTTCCTAGGACTAACATTTTAATCTAGAATCAGTGTAAATGTCCTAGAGAGAAAACCAACAAGGGAAATTACTCTGTACTTATCATTTTCTTTAAGAAGACATGTAGATCTTTGATAAATCCACATATACTTACAAATATCTTGTTACAATGAATCAGGTGCTAAATAAATCCAGCACATTGGTACATTTAGATTCTGTGCTGAATAATAAGGGTAGTTTATTTGTTATGTTGCTGTAGGGATGTTGTTTTAATGAAACTCATTTTTACAGAGAGGAGAGATGGTAAGAGATAAAAACAACACAGATAATTTTGTGATCATAGTGTAGTCATCTTTAATGTCATTTTATCATCATAACAATTTTAAATCAATCAGGAGATGTCCATATTGAGGACTTATAAATGTTCATTGTGTGGAATGTTTAGATCCCGATAACAGAAGCACTATATAGTTCCTTGATTGTGTAAAAGTAACAAGTTACATCCCACTGTTGTTAGTGCTTTACTTAATGTTTAATTTGCTTGTTATCAATTAGTTATTAGACCAAAAAAAAAAAAACATGTGATGCAACTAATTAATCCAAACCATTATTTATTCACAAAGATTTAAAATCGTTGAATTTGTAAACCGTCATAGATACTAGTATTATATATAGATAAAAATTCAGAATTAAAATTGTGCATTTACTTCAGTGATCATTTAGACTGATAATATCTCTCTTGTTTTTGTAGTGTCCAAAGCTACTGATGCCCCCGACATGAGTCGTGAGAATGCTATGGGCGGTGGTTATTACACAAAGCCCGGGTCTGGCAAAGACAAGAGGACTCTACAGAGTGTCAAGACTCATTTCTACGTGGGGACGGAGGTAGTGGGCGTCGTCCTAGGGGCGGGGGAATGAGCTTGACTCCCTGTACAGTTCTGCTTTCTTAGTCTTGCACAGTCTCTCTGTCACCAGCACTGCACGTTACAGCTGTAGATACAACTCTCCTGCATGTAAATGTGTCCTCAGATCTGATCACAGAGCCCCCCTACACACTACCCAGCATGCACCTTCTGTACACACCATCTGATCTATTTATACTATATGTATGACATCTTCTATGAACTTCTTTACAACCTAAAAAACTCTATGTAATACATGTATGTGAATAGTTTGATCTCTAACCATATACCTACTTACATTTGTGATAAGCATGCGACCTGTCAACACTTATGTACATGTACTGTATATATATATAATGTATCCTTGTGGTATGCCTGTGGCATGTAGCTTACCTCTGTATCCCAATCTAACATTAACTTTTTAGTAACACACTTCTTCTCATGACCTACTTAATGTCACCTTTTTACATAGCATTCTGTTATCGTCTTCTCCAGTAATCCATTTATATCAGGCCTCTGCTCGGCTTCACACATGACTGTATATCTATTATTGCACAAGCTCTTTATTTTGATGAAATGTAATCACAAATTTATTACTTTGTATTTTCTAATTTAATAATTAATGCCTTAATGAATTCTTCAATTATTACTTTACAGAGAACATGACTTAGCATTTACTGTCAATTATCTATATCTACTTCTCTAGAAACACTGTGCCAATTTCAACCAAACTTCCCACAAAGCATTCTTGGATAAAGGAGATTCAAGTTTGTTCAAATAAAGAGCCAGGCCCACTCTCAATGGGAGATAATTAAGAATTTTTGAAAATTTGGTGGCATCTTTTGAAAATCTACTTGGCTGGAGTTGAAATTTTCATGAACTCTACCATAGTGTAAAATCAGTGTTAAAATCATGACCCCCAGGGGTAGGGTTGGGCCACAATAGGCAATCAAAGGGTTTTTTTTATGGGAAAATTGAGGGAAAATCTTTATAAATTTTCTTCTAAAGAACAACTAGGCCATGATAAGTAAAACTGATATACAAGCATTTTCAGGAAGTAATTGTTGTTCAAATCATTGCTACTGGTAGGGTGGGCTGTTATGGGAGATCACAGTATTAAAAGTGAATGTATAGGAAAAAATTCCTCTTAAAAACAACAAATCCATGATTAGTCATATAAATAATGCAAGCAGCCTCAGATAGTTTTTGATTTAGAGTTGCTCAAATTGCTTATCAAGAGTTGAAGGGCCAACTTCAAAAATTCCTAAACTGTATGGATTCAGTAAATTTTTCTTCAAATAAGAGACCATGGGTAAGAAAGAGGCTGAAATTGGATATAAAATTTTACATGAAATTTTTTTTCTTCTCAAGAACAGTTGGGTCACATTGATATTGAAGCATCCCAATGTTTTTTGGACTCAAGTATGATTAAATCATGACCCCTTGAGGCTATGTTAGGGCCACAATATAGGGTCAAAATTCTTTGTGAAACTAATTTTGGGGGACAATCTTTTTAAAATGTGACTCAGATGAGCATTGCGGCCCATGGACCCCTTGCTCAAATATATGGTTGATGTAAAAACCTATGTATTAGGGAAATGTAGAGGTTTTAAAAATTAATGTATTTTTTTTACAGACATTAATACTGTAGATACCACTCATAAAATGATAGTGTAAAAACTTGGAATATGCCAAATTGAAAGTATGCCTTAGGAGTCAGTAGTCTCAGGAAATTAATGGATGGATTTCTTTTATTTGTCTTACATATTAACAGTACAGTGTTTAACAGTTTTCTGATATCAAGTTGAAGATGAGGAAAAAAAGCCCATCTTCACTGCATTGTAACATTTAATTCTATATTTCTTTAACTCCTGCTATAAAAAATATCTGTAATATAATACACCACACAAAAGGGTGATCTTCCTTCAAAAATTTCTGCAGAAAATTTCATAAGTACACTACACACAAAATACAATGAAGCCATACCCAGTTAATGGTTAGTACATTAAACTCACCGTTGTCTGTGAGCTTATCTGAGGTTTCACCACACATAAGCTGTGGTTTACAGACAGACTGAAGGTTGTAAGCTATAGCTGTAGCACACTCTCAGGTTTTGTTTTGTTTTTTTTTTGAACATCTGTTACCAGATAAGAAGCATTTTGTTGAAGTGAAATTCTGATGGGCTTGTTTGCTTTTCTTATTCCTTTGAAAAAGATTGCTTAATTTTTAAAGCCTAAGTTTTATTAGCATTATATTATGTTCATGCACAAATACTTCTTTCATCATCTCTTTTTATTTTTGCACACCAATTTTTTGCTTGACAAGTAAATTTAATGCAGACTTTTTTGCTAATTAAGACTCGTGTAAATGACTTCCTTGTTGTCAGGATGGAGAAGTCGTGTATGTGGACTGGATGCCAGTAAAAGACCAGGATACAGGGAAAATTGTCAGTAAGTGAAGGGAAAATTGTCAGTAAGCAAAGGGGGGACCAAGATACAGGGAAAAATGTCAGTAAGTAAAGGGAACATTGTCAGCAAGTAAAGGGGGGATCAAGATACAGGGAAAAATGTCAGTAAGTGAAGGGGGAGACAAAGATACAGGGAAAATTGTCAGTAAGTTGAAGGGGGAACCAGGATACAGGGAAAATTGTCAGTAAGTAAAGAGGGGAGACCAAGATACAGGGAAAATTGTCAGTAAGTAAAGGGAAAATTGTCAGTAAGTAAAGGGAAAATTGTCAGTTAGTGAAGGGAAAATTGTCAGTAAGTAAAGGGGGGAATGAGATACAGGGAAAATTGTCAGTAAGTAAAGGGAAAATTGTCAGTTAGTGAAGGGAAAATTGTCAGTAAGTAAAGGGGGGAATGAGATACAGGGAAATTTGTCAGTAAGTAAAGGGGGGACTGAGATACAGGGAAAATTGTCAGTAAGTAAAGGGGGGACTGAGATACAGGGAAAATTGTCAGTAAGTAAAAGGAAAGACTAGGATATAGGGAAAATTGTCAGTAAGTAAAGGGGGAGACTAGGATATAGGGAAAATTGTCAGTTAGTAAAGGGGGAGACCAGGATACCGGGAAAATTGTCAGTTAGTAAAGGGAGGGAGACCAGGATACAGGGAAAATTCTCATTAAGTAAAGGGGGGTCAGGATTCAGGGGGAGTTACCAGTTAGTAAAGGTAGGGGTGATACCCTTTATACATGTACATTACAAGTGATCTCTTTTTCAGAAAACACATTGGTTGTGCTAAATTTTTCTCAACTTGTTTATTAAGTACAATGTTTTTGTTGCTTTGACACCTTACTGTTCCAGAATAGTTACTTTCTTTAGCATTATGTTAGGTATAACAGTATAAGATTAAATTTGTCTTTTTAAGTTTGCATGATTAATTGAAATTTTGATTTTCTTCACTATAGCACCAAAGCCTGATTTCTACCATGCAATCCATGACGGACCAGTGAACACGGTCCAGCGATCACCGTTTTTCAGTGACATCATTCTGTGCGTTGGAGGATGGACCTTCACGATCTGGAAGGAGGGTGTAACGGTAATGCTATCTGACCACTTTCTTTGTCATTCTGATCAGTTCTATGTTGACAAGGGTTATATCTTTCCATATTGGGGTGGTAAGAGAATTGTAAGCAGTTTTCTCCCATATATTAAATTTCTTAAAATTTATTTATTTTTATCAAAATGAAGTTTCTGAGGGAGTGTTTGGGGGTTTGCTTGCTTACTGACACATATTGGTATTGAAATTCAGATCAGTATTTCTATAGTTAGAAGTTGAATGACATTAAAGATCCATCCAATATTTTTTTTTGGATTTTTTTTTACATGTATATAAGTTTATAGTATATGTACATGTTGCCTCTTTATATGCTGTGTGTGCTATCCTGTTGATTCTATTTATTATATCAGACTGTCAGATTCCTTTTTATCATTGTATAAGAACAAGATTCTGTTAAGCTGGTGTGTAGTAAGATTTATTTTTAGCCATGATATTAACAGGACGAGACCTCTGAGAATAAGAAGAAAGTAAGTGATTGGTGGTAGAAAAAAGTTCTGGAATGATGTGTGTTTTCAGCTCAATGTCTTAAATTGTGTAAACAAACAAATTCTGATCCACAAAAGTCTGTTGTCCTATTTTTGAGACTTGGTTTTTATAATTACACATTTACAGAATTAATTTGCGTAAAAATATTTATTACAATGCACATAAAGCTTGATACAGCTATTTGACTAGCATCTTCAATTTAAGTTCACTTTAGTAAATTCTCTTTTCATAAAATTTATTTTTCTGTAAACTTGAGCAGTATTTTGTCAGGTGAGCTAAAGTGTCCCGTACACTGATGGCCTATGTGTGATAAACACGTGAAGAATACCCGTATAAGGACTGATCATGATTTACTCTTTGGTGATGAGTTTGTGAAGAAATGAGGCATATATTAATTTGTGCTTGTTGGGTTTTATTTCAATGAACAAATGTAGTGCTAAAAATTTGAGATAAATAGGACAAGTTGTCATTGTTGACTTAATTACCAAGTGTTGAATTAATATAGATCAGATGAACTAGAATTTATTAAATGTATACAGTGTATCCTTAACAATTAATATACATGTATGTATAAACTGCTGACTTATAAGTAAAACTGAAAGGAATTAATTCATTTGTATTAATTACAATTAAATGAAGATTAAATATGTTTAAGTATTTTTTTTTAATGTGCAAAACTTAATTTTGAGAAAGATTTTTTTTTTTTAGCTAAGTAGGTCTGTTATAATTTACACATACTCCTATACAGTTTAAAACATGATAAAAATTTATAATAGCTTGAAAGATTGAAATGTAACAATACCTTGCTTTTGCTATATACAGACTGGACCAATCCTACAGTCTAATGCCAATCCTGTCAAGATGACCGCTGGTCACTGGTCTCCATCTCGACCCTCAGTGTTCTACATCGCTAAACACGACGGAAGCGTGGACGTATGGGATCTTCTGGATAAAACCCATGAACCAACGCTGACACAAAGTGTGTCCCCAACTCTGATTACACAGCTGTTCCCCTTCCAGATTTCACGTAAGCATTTTCATCCCCCCAAAATATTAATTGACAGATAATGCATAGCAGCATTACAAGCAATATAGCCTTAACAGTAGTTTTTCTGGTTTCAGAAATAAGTTTTACAAATTGAAATTAATTTATATTCTGTTTCAGAATAAAAACTTTATTTGGAACATGCAACTTTTTCACTATCAATGACAGTACTTTATCTAATTTTTGTGTAGAAAGGTGTTGGTTCAGTATAAAGTGACAGGTCTGTTTATATTACAGAGAAGCAGCATTTGTTAGCTGTGGGTGACAATGCTGGTACATTACACATACTGGAAATCCCCTGGAGTCTTAGACAACCCACCCCTAATGAGGTACAATCAAAGAATTCTGCACTCAGCTACAGTACACCACACTCTGATCAGCACTTTGTACTGTCAAGTACTCATAAATGATTCTGTAATTGGCTACAGTACACTACACTCTGATCAGCACTCTGTACTCTCAAGTACTCGTAAAGAATTCTGTAATGGGCCACAGTACAACACACTCTGATCAGCACTCTGTACTCACAAGTACTCATAAAGAATTCTGTAATCGGCTACAGTACAACACACTCTGATCAGCACTCTGTACTCGCAAATACTCATAAAGAATTCTGTAATCGCCTACAGTACAACACACTCTGATCAGCACTTTGTACTGTCAAGTACTCATAAAGAATTCTGTAATCAGTACATCACACTCTGATCAGCACTCTGAACTGTAGAGTTCTCTTAAAGAATTCTTTAATCAGCAACAGAACACCATACTCTGATCAGCACTCTGTACTCTCTAGTTCTCATAAAGAGTTCTGTAATCAGCTACAGTACACCACACTCTGATCAGCACTCTGTACTCACAAGTACTCACAAAGAATTCTGTAATCAGCTACAGTACACCACACTCTGATCAGCACTCTGTATTCTTAAGTTGTCTTAAAGAATTCTGTAATTGGCTACAGTACACCACACTCTGATCAGCACTCTGTATTCTCAAGTACTCATAAAGAATTCTGTAATCAGCTACAGTACACCACACTCTGATCAGCACTCTGTATTGTCAAGTTCTCATAAAGAGTTCTGTAATCAGCTACAGTACACTACACCCTGACCAGCACTCTGTACTCTAGAGTTCTTTTATAGAATTATAAAATCTGATCAAACTTGCATTGTTCCTGCTCTGTATTAATGTAAAGTTTTTCTTATACATGTTTATATATTGAATCTCTTGGGACAACTAGAATTATGTTGTTATAGTCATGTTTATATACAGTCAAACTTCATTATCTCGAACTTCATGGGACCAAGAAAAAACTTTGAGATATCCGAGGAATCGAGATATCGGGGGTAAAATACTTCAGGAATAAGGGGTTGTGACTTCAAAATCACTTTGACCTATCCATAGTATTCAAAATATCTGTGTTTAAGATACCGAACTTCAACTGTAAGTGATAATGATATTTCAAACACCATTGCTCACCAAAAGTAACTTTGTTATCAGCAGAAATTCACTATAACTTTATACTACTATTATAAGTAACATTTCTGTATATATATATAAAAACATATTAAGTACATGTAGCCCAGCAAAACACTTCACCCCATGTGTATAGCTTCTGTTAAAATTAACTTTTTATTTTCTTGTGGCTAAACCTTGTATGATTTTGTCAGATGACTGGAATCTCCAACTACTTTGAGCGTGAGGTGAAGAGACGAGCCTTTGTTGTGATGAGGTGGGACTTCAGAGAGAACGAGAAGAGAGAGTTGGAGCAGGAACAAAAAAGGAAAGCAGGGGTAAGAAAAATAAGATCAGAGAACCAACTCATTACTAAATTCTCTTGCATGATGCATCTCAGATTGAAATACATATATTTATCAACCAACTTAAGATGAAAATGGCATTCTGTTGCATATTTCACAATTTTAAAAGTTTAAAAAAAAAATCCTCTGAAATAATATACTGGTGGCCTCTGTAGCATTCAATTTACAGAAAACACAGGACAAAATTCTAGGCTTAACAGCATACTCTGATTGTTAATCTCTGTCCTAATTAGCATATCAGACTTAGTCACCTCCAGATACTGATATGTAAAACTTGGAGTTCTTTCCCTTTCCAGATTGCCCCAAACGTGGTGCTGACGGACGAGGAGATAGAGTACAGATTGAAGCAGGAGTACCAGAGCTACCTGGACGAGGAGGCTGCGTTTCTCCGAGAACTCGGGCTCCTGAAGGAGGAGGATGAGCCCCTCCCAGAGACGTGACCCTCAGGGCTCATAACCCACAAATCCAAGCTGTGATATTGACAAATCATACTGTTGTAAACTAGTTCTCTTGGAGGATCTGTGTATTTATGATCTGTGTATTGTTGCAGACTTCAATAACAATTGATGCTGATGATAGTTTTACTTTTCTACCAGATGTTTATTTATTGACATTGACAGTCTATCAAGATATTTTTTTTAACGTATTCACTTTATTTTTTGGCTTCAGCCACTTGCAAATATATCCTTAAAAAGAATCTGTTCATTATTGTTTTGATTGATAATAAATTATGTAACTGCTTCTAGTATCGTAAAAATTTTCTGAGAAACTAGGGAGACAAAATGCAGCAGCATTTCCTAAGAAATGCCACAAATATACAAGGTTTCATACTTCCAGCTTCAGTCAAACCTTGTTATTTGGAACTGGATGGGCTCAAGAAAAGCTTCACAATGTCAAGGTTTTGTGATATTGTTCCTCTACAAAAAACCTTTGACGAAAGTCGCTATTTAAAAGTCAGGAGAAGATATATTCTCATTGGTTGGTTTATAATTAACCATTACGGCATGTGTATCCACACGCCAAACTTTTAAATACATGTAGCGACTTTTGTCAAAGGTTTGTGAAGTGGAACAGTATCAAAAAACCCTGACATTGTGAAGATGTTCCGAGATATCCAAAAATTTGAGATATCAGAGCATTTAAGAATTGATGTTAAAACACATAAAGAAACATGCTTTGGACTCCCAACTGACAAGTAAATAGCTATAGTATTTGAGATATTGAGGTTTGAGATCCCAGAGTTCAACTGTTCTTTGATGAAGTTGGAGAGAATATGAGGTCAGAGTCACTATGGTTGTCCCTGGTTCACTGTAAGAAGTAAGTGTATAAATCATCTGAATGACTAAGCCCCACATAAACCTTAATGTCATGTAGAAAGATGTTTCTTTTAGAGATGAACATTACCAGACTTGTGTCAAAATTGCATCTATCATTAATTTTCCAGGTGGATGACAAAAAAAAAAATTGAGAATATTTATCTAACCTAGATTTATTATAATAAATAGATTATAATAAATAACTGCAGGCATTGTGTGTAAAATTCATTTGCAGTTTGAATGTCTAGTCAGGCAGACATATTGATCAGCTGACCACAGCAGGACAGACTTCATGAAAAACATGCACAGCGAGAAATGTTATACAACAGTGATATACCAGATCAAAGAATTGCAATATCTAAGTCTACTTTCCTAATAAGTTTTGAAATACCTGTACATGTGTACATCCATTAATATTAGTATCATTGAAATAATTGGTAAATATCTATAAGATAAAAGGATAAAAACAAATGCAAATGAATTGCATTAGGTGTGGATAGCTTGTCAACACAATCAAAATTTGACTTAATAAATTTAATGAAACAACAAACAGCTTAATTGTTGGTTAAAAAATACAAATGTTCCATCAGAGGATTGAACTCAGAAATATCGATTTTCTTCCATTTCAGACTGGAAATTTGTACCACTGTGAGATTGTGAGGCCAAATGCAAACAGTTTGGTTTGAGGCTTCAGCAATATGCTTCAGCAAAACAAGTTGCCCAAAAACATGCCCAACAAATCTGTTGTTCTACTGTACCTTTTACTATTATCTGGTAAAAATCTTTAAAAAAATATTATATCCTGTAGATTTATTCTGACTAATAAAATACCGTATAGCGTGAATTTTTAGCAGGGTGCTAACTTTGGCTTATTTTAGTAATTTTGTAGTAGACCTTGAAAATTTTAATTGCTAAATTTGCACCCTTACTTAAACATATAACCGTATACAAGAAAAAGAATTTAAATAATTTTGATCAATCTCTTGTATCTCTTTCATCTGGTATTGGTATTTACTCAAACTCTTGCATAAATTATATTCAAATGTATGTTAAACGTACTGAAACTCATCTAAAAGATACATTTCCTCTCCTTTGCAAAGACATGGAACTCTGTGTCCGCCAAAAGAAGTTACACCAAAATTATTGGCATACTTTGAGCAAGCAAAATGCCAAATTTTACACCTGTTAAAGAAACCTGCTATACAGTAGTATATCCTAATCTCAACCAATTTAACCCATTTACTTTCTTCAAGTAAACATGAGACATAATTATCAAACGAACAAGATGATATTTGGTTACTACAATGCCTAAATCAATGTATATTGAGCAGCACATTAACTAAACAATAGATGTACATGAAACTGGTAAATGACAGATATCAGTGATTCATAAAGATACCATAAAAATAAACAAAGCACTTTAAAGTTAGCCTATCGATTCCTATGGGATTATCACAGAATATTCTTTTTGTTCATGCAAGAATATCACAGAGTATTGCTATTTCTACATATATCAAAGAATGTTGAAAATAATAATATATCTTACCAATGTAATAGTAAATATTAATAAGACTGAGGCAATTTTAAAATAATTAACACCAAAACAAAATGAGACCCATGGGCCACAACGCTCACCTGAAAAACTTTAGCAAAGCTGTCCTTCATCAGATTTTAGAGGAAAAAAAAAGATTTTCCTATATATTCTTCTTAAATATAATTGTGACCAATATTATGACTCCTTCCTAATGCTTACGGGTCTCTGAATCCACACTATGTGGAGTTGCTTTAATATCAATACATGTATATGACTAACATGGCCTTACAGGTATGAAGGGGAAAATTCTTTTCTTGTATACATGCACTATGTAAAATTTTGATCCTGAATTTAGCAAACTCTAACCTGGGGTCCGTAATTTGGAAAAAAAAAATTGAATTCACAAAATTTGGGAATATTTGCAGATTAATGGCTCTTTTAGTGGTTCCCAAGAAGGGTTTGAAGTCTAAACAAGATTTGGGTTAATAAATTTTTGGCAAACACAAGAAAAATAAAGCAAGCAATACAAATTTATTTATTGATAACATTCTTTAAATCTTTTTTCTTGTATAGTTCAATGTTAAATTAAAAGATTTTTTTAATGACTCTGCCCTATTTTTGCCTTTTCTTGATTATCTCTCCTTGGAAGGGGGATATGTCCTTCATTTGAATAATTTAGAATCCCCTCTACCCAAGAATGATTTGCACCAACCTTATTCAAAATTGGCCCAATGGTTCCTGAGTAGAAATCAAAAATGTGGACAGACAGATAGACAGACAGATGGATGGACAAACACTAGACAATGGGTGATCAGAAAAGCTCACTTGAGCTTTCAGCTCTGGTGAGCTTACATATACATACACTCATTACTGGAAAAGTACATTTACACATATATGTTAAAAAATATTTGAGGTCATAATTTGTGTTTTTTAAAAAATCTGAGGCTATACCTGATGCAGTTAAAATTAAACACATTCTGGAGAATGGTTAAGTGTTAGTGGCATATTTTCTTTTATAATTATAGCAAAAAATTAATCCTAATGTGAAGAGGAAACTCAATAAATATTTTAAAATTAAAAGGGCCATAATTATTTTTTTTAAGGCCAGATGAGCCTTACAACTGCTTCCATGGGGATGATATTATCACCACTGAATAGAGACAAGTCTCAATAATCAAGAATTCTCAATGAATTAACCACAATTGACATCACTGTCACACATATAATAATGACATCATAACAATAATGTCAGCAGTAAAATACTGCATGCACAGTAGGTCAGTATAATATATGTTGTTCTAAAAAATGGAACTACAACCTTTCAGAGTGGATGAAAAAAATAATTTTAGAATTCATATAATGGTTACCACAGTGCTTCAGTATTCAAAAAAAAATGTACATGACTTTTTTTTTTTTTTACTGAAACACACAAAAAATATGAATGTTTATATGTAAAATTGCTGTAAAGTCCCTGACACATGAAGATGAACATGAGTGGTGTACATAGCTGCTTTGAATGTATGTTCAGCTGACTGTTACAGTCTAATTATTACTGGTAGAAAAACACATTGGATTTTATTGTCCAAGATGAGGATTTTCTTCAGAATTATTCTTGATAATGTGGAACAGTTGTTTGTCTATTTTAGTCTGAAACTATGACAAATATTTCTCTTGTGGCATGTTTAAACTGTACATGATGTTCATGTAATATACATAAAAATATATGTACATGTACCTGATAATGAGTATCATAGATTTTGACAGTGAATAAATAATCAATAATAAACACTGAAAAATTATCACAAGAGAATTTAAGTTTTCCCAAGAATGACAAATTGTCCAACAAAATTTGCAAGTCCTACTAGAATAAGAAATGAGTGAAACCCAATAACAGGGACAGAAAGCTTGCCCTGTTCTCGTAATGTCTTCATGTAGACTAGACAAGGAAGAAGAATGGCGTATGAGAATCCACAGAAAGCTCCTACAAACCTGTAATTAAAGTTAATAAAAAAGATCAAGTTGAGAGAAATTATGTATTATGACAATATTTTAATCAAAGATTGCTTGTATCTTTCACAGTGGACTGGTTCATCAATTTTAAACAATGTGATATTCTGAATTTGGAATAGAAATGTTTATCTATAATAACTAAGATATCTAGATTCTTGCAAAATATAACTCATTAAGTCTGCTCAGCAAACTACAGCAAGTTTACAACAAGTAACAACGCTGGTGTATTTTCCATTAAAAACTATTAATAGTTACAGTATAAAATATGTTTCTGTAGGAATAATTTGACACCTATGGTGCTTATTCAAATATAAGTCATTTTACACCTTACCCTATGATGCTTCCAATGTGAGGTAAAAATACAGCAAAAACAACACAAATGGCAACTAGAACTAGATTTAGGACAAGAACATGCTTCACACTGAAAGAGTAAAAGAATATAGAAAGTGGTTAATTTTGATCATCTTCAAAATGTGTATAGAAGAAACAATGGGCCAGCTTTAAACTTTGGAAGTATTCCTACCTACTTGAAAGAAGTAATCTAAATATTTTTATGAAACACCACATACCATTTAATTTTTTTCCAGTAGGAAAAGCATAAAAGAAGCTTAGGTCAGTATTTTGTTACCTTGGCCAGACATCTCCAAACAATGAGAAGAGAAGCTGAGCTCGGAATATGTAGAGTAACAGAGGAAACACACAGACCATCTGAAAAAACAAACCAATCCGAGCCACGAAAGCCAGGGTGTCTGTATCAGCAATGTTGTTAAGAAGGTTCTGCTCAAAAAGTAAACAAACCAAAGATGAAGACAACATACATATTTGTTCATTGTAATTAAGAGTCATTCACTAAAATGGAATGTAGAAAGGAATAAAGCAATACTTGTAAATCAGACTGGTCAACTCCTGCTTTTTAATTTTTTTACAGTTTTTAAGTTATTGCAAACCTTATGAAATAGTCATCATAATGGACCAAAAATCAAAAACATTATAACTAGGAAAATTTTACTTTAATTTTAATTAAGATTACATTTCTTTGGAATATATTTTTTTTGTTTCTGGAGTGTTGAATCTACTGACAGCTTTCTGAATAGATTTTTAACAACACTTTTACATATAAGCCATTTTAAAAATTACTTTTTTTAAAATGAAACTCTTTGGAAATGCAGTGTACAAATTAAACTTGTCATTGCTTATTCTACTTATCAAAACATGAATCCCAGATTATAAATAAAGCTTGTTCCTTTGTTCCAGGTCTACTTTTCTGCTGTCTTTGATAAAAGAGTTCTGACAAGGGAAATAATTTGAAAAAAGCCTTTCGTTGACGTATAATGTTTACAATATCTAATAGTGTAAACATGTATTTCTTTTATGAAACCAGCACAGATATTTATTAAGCTACTCTATTATAATTTTTATTAATTTAGAAAATGAAAAATAAATATCTAAATATTAGTGTTTTATACTCAACTGTGCATTATCATTTTTATTAATTTAGGAACTATATCATAAATATCTAAATACTCATTTGTTTTGTTTTTTTAAAAAGAATTTTCTATCTTCCTTATGAAGAAAAGATAATTTTCTTACATCTTCTATACAGTCTTTGTTCAGTGGAAATGACGAATAAAACATGACTCCCATATAAATGTAGGTCACAGCCACCAATGTATAGGCAATAGTGAGATCCCGTATCTACCAAAATAGAAATAAATTTTGTTTAAAATATAGTATTAAAAGATATTGGAAAACTATATATTTCTATAACCTCTTTTACTTTTTTTATCCCAAACTTCTAGAAACCAGTTTTTTTTTTTATTTTTCTATGAAGTATAATTTATTCAAAAACTTCTATTTGAGAAGAAAACTGTTGCTGTACATGTATATCGACAGTGTTTTATCAATTAACAATAGTTACTTTCATTCATAATATATCTCAGTGAACAAGAAGAAAAGACACCATAGTTTGCCACAAGTTTTATATTTTCGATGTTTTACTGACTATAGACAATAGGGGCCAACTAACAAACAAATAAATTATATGAAAAATGAGATGACTTCAGCTTTTCCATCATCAACTTTCCCTATTTATGTATTGTAGTAATAATGTTACAAAATCACCTGCATTTAGTGTTTATGTCTCTAAACTGATTCAATACACAAGAACATGCTTTTAGTATGATAATTTTTTTAATAAATACAAGCTACTAACAAATAAGTTAATCTTACAGAATTTTAAAAACCCCATTCAAAGTCAGCTTTTCAACAATTCTACTATCTACTAATAATTTCAGTGTAAAGTATGTGTATATTATACTTAACATTATGTTCTAGGTGTTTTGGATCATACTTATTATAGTATTTACATTGTTTTCTGTGTGTTTTGCATCATACTTACATTGTTTTCTGGGTGTTTTTGATTCCTACAAATTGAAATGACACAGTTCTGTACAAAATAAGCCAAAGCAGCCACCCCTGTTAAAGCAGCAAAGGTACCTCGAAACTCTGTAATATACACATAGAGTGTTAAGGTAGTAAAGGTACCTTGAAACTCTGTAATATACATATAGAATGTTAAAGTAGTAAAGGTACCTCGAAACTCTGTAATATACACATAGAATGTTAAAGTAGTAAAGGTACCTCAAAACTCTGTAATATAAATTGTAGTCACACTATCTGTTAATTACCTGTCCTAACCTTTAGAAAGTTTTGATACACTCTCTTAATCTTAAACAATACACAAATCATGTACAATTTCAACATCCTCTACACAAAAGAAGTTATCAAAACAAATACCTGGAATATATATATGATAAGGATCTCCTGATATTTCCTCTCCCCCAAATTTTAAGTTGAATCCCCACTGGTGAGCATTGTAGGCCACAAAGGAAACGAGGTAAGTGACAGAAAGGGTACCTGTAAAAAACGGACACTGAGATAGAGACAATTACAATGTACAAAGCACCTGTTGTGAAAAACGAGTGTTGAGATTTAGACGATTACAATGTACAAACATGTTCCTTCAATTCTCAATAACTGTACATCATACAATGTAAATAAAAAGTCTGGTATATTTAATCAGTGAACATATCTGAAAAACCAGTTATTCTACACAAAATCCCAAGTGGCCCATACAAATTATAAATTACCATTTACAGAAGGTTCTTCACACCATGCAAATTTATGTATTAAAAAAAGCCATTTTGAAAAAGTTAAAAAAAATGTATAATTTACTCTTTTTTTCTTACCAAGTGCATTAAATTTGGTGAAGAATGTGGGAGATTTAAAGTTGATGAGGGGAGCTAGCACACAGACCAGAAAGAATGGCACTGTGTACTGCTCATCCCATACTCTGTCATATGTTGATTCATGTGAATGATCTGAGAGCAGCCATTGGTGGTTACTATAGTTACTGGATGAGTTGTGGTTACTATGGTTACCATGTGATGGTGGAGACATTGATGGACAAACTAAAAAGTAAGATTTTACACATATACTTAAATCAACATTACAATATGATTCTTCTTTTAAGGTCAAGATCTAGTAAATAAAAGGAGACTACAGATTTCTCAAATTTGAGAAATAAATTCCTTTAATGAAGCTTTATAAATATAGCTTAGTCAAATAAGGTGTTTCGGGGCATAATTTGTAGGCAAACAAGACGAAAAATCATATATTAAACTGTCATTTTTATTGAAAAATTAGGAAAATCAGTCATGAATATGGGAGTTTTTTCCATATCAGACAAATTAAATGTATCCAGATTGCCTACAGTCTCTCAGAAAACGGTAATTTGTATGTTCTTGGCCTCTTCTTTAAAATAATATTAAATTGAATATAGGTTTCGAGATTACTTTTCACATGATTTCAAATTGAATTCCAGGAAAATACTTTATTTTCTACATAATTCTATTACAGCCGTAAAGTGCGGGAAAAAAGAAAGTTTAATTTGATTATGACGTCATAATGGATCTAGCATCAAAAATGCAGTCTAAAATCATTTACTAGATCTTGACCTTAATAGATATATGTAACTGCTTAGTGTGAATTAATGTAAAATGTCTTTTTTCTGACATTTAATTTGATATACTTGTATGTGCATTATTTTTAAATACTGCATGTAGTTGAGGGTAACTGTGAACATTTTCACCCCCAAGAAATCCATTTTCACCTTGCATAGCCAAGGTTGACAGTGGTTTTCGAGGAGTGATAATTTTCGATTCCCTCAACTACATGCGGTATTTATTACATTATACTGAATGTTTTATTCAAATATAAATAAAGGTGAAACATGCGCAGATACTACTAGATTCCGCACAGTCAATATATTTTTTGGAATATTACCCATCATCAAGCAATGTTGACTGTTGCTAAGTTCTATCATGCAGGGGGCATGGTTTCAACATTTAGAGGGTAAAAGTGTTTTTTAACAAAAGTTTCTCAGTGAATCAAACTCAAGTAATTTAGATGAAAAAAATAATACTTCTTTTTACTTCCTGTTACCCATTGTTTTGTGTGAAGTAATGTAATATTTTCTGTTAGCCTTTGATTTGTACGACTTATCTTGTACTCACCATAGCCTGTTGTATTTGTGTGACTTAATCTTGTACTCACCATAGCGTGTTGTATTTGTGTGACTTAATCTTGTACTCATCATAGCTTGTTGTATTTGTGTGACTTAATCTTGTACTCACCATAGCTTGTTGTATTTGTGTGACTTAATCTTGTACTCACCATAGCTTGTTGTATTTGTGTGACTTAATCTTCTACTCACCATAGCTTGATGTATTTGTGTGACTTAATCTTGTACTCACCATAGCTTGTTGTATTTGTGTGACTTAATCTTGTACTCAACATAGCTTGTTGTATCTGTGTGACTTAATCTTGTACTCACCATAGCTTGTTGTATTTGTGTGACTTAATCTTGTACTCACCATAGCTTGTTGTATCTGTGTGACTTAATCTTGTGATCACCATGGCTTGTTGTATTTGTGTGACTTAATCTTGTACTCACCATAGCTTGTTGTATTTGTATGACTTAATCTTGTACTCACCATAGCTTGTTGTATTTGAGACTTGATCATGAGGTGAAGTACTGTGGTCTGAAAAGACAGGATCATTCCATTTTATTATCATCATCATTTATTTGGTATCATATGTCATCATACATAAAACAAATACACATAAATATACATAGTCATTTGAAAGACAATATTTGAGAATCCATAAATTTTAAATAGATTTATAAATAAATATTCAGGAAACCATATTTTAGATAGTGACTAGTTGATACCAGGATAACCCATTAAAGCTGGAGAGCTTATTTCCAATGGGGTCCTACCCTAAATAAGATAAAAATACAATGTTTCATCATTAAAGCACTATAACAATTTTTGGCACTATAATTTTAGCACTGCGTTGCTTACACGTTAAATTTAATTTAAGTATGACAACATATAGGATCAATAAAATATGTTTTATAAGTTAATGCTGAAGCATATCACTTTCATGTTCTAAAAGGCCGTTTTTAAGATAAAACTCTTAACTTGTTTCTTAAAAGTACTCTTTCCTTTAGTACATTTAATAGAAGCTGGTATTTGTGTATTTGTGTATTTCAAATAATATCAAACAATGGCATTAAAATTCATGCTACAACAAAAGTTAAAAACCTCTGAATATTTATGCCTTTTACTTTCTATTATCAATGAAATCAACAAAGTACTGTTAAAATGCTTTCAGAATCATTAATTTTGTGAGGTTTTATATGGATGTATCCCTATAAAGGTATGCAGGCTGTAGCTTTCGTTATGTCAAAACATTTGCTCACTAAATAACGCCCCACACCTGCAAAGATCTAGATCCAGGAAAACTGGACCCCACTGATGTGTTAAAATCTTTCAATATTACTTTAATTAAAAAAAATATATATAATGTTCATTGACAAATATATAACAATTTAAGGACCCTCTATACACCAGTTCAAAATGTTTTTTGGACTTTGAGAAAATTATATTGAATAAAATTGTAAATACTAAGCTTATATAATTAATTTAATGTTATTAAATGTTAATAATTAAAAAATGTTCAAAGACAATCAAGTATCAATGAACAGAAATCACTGTTCTTTACTTCCGTGATGAAAATATATGCAAATAGAGTGTTCAATTAATTTATCTTGCCTATTTAAAATGTTATGAATATTTGAATTGATTACAAATTGAGTAATATACTGTAAATTTCAATTTATTGGAATTTAGATCTAAGGGCAGATCACTCTAATTGCAGAAAAATACCATTAGAATCAGAACTCTTTACTGTACAGTGTGGAGAGGGTTCTTAACAGTTAATGTCAACAAAGTTACTTAAACATTGATAACTATTTAAGAATTCAACAGTTAATGTCAACAAAGTTACTTAAACATTGACAACTATTTAAGAATTCAACAGTTAATGTCAACAAAGTTACTTAAACATTGACAACTATTTAAGAATTCAACAGTTAATGTCAACAAAGTTACTTAAACATTGACAACTATTTAAGAATTCAACAGTTAATGTCAACAAAGTTACGTAAACTCATCAGAGAGAGATGAAAATGAATACTGAAAGACTTACGATAAATGAAGTTTACAACATTGTATATGAAATTGGACATTAGGATCCAGTAGACGATTGCCCCGCCCAGCAGGGTGAGGAGGGAAGAGACAACTGCCAAAACTTGGGCCCACCTCCCCAAGGAAATGCGGCAAACATCAGAAAAATCCAGGCCCGAGTCTGTCTTCCCTGTCATATAAGTACAAAGAGCTAAAGTAGTAGATCACCAGGTGATATATTACAACAAAATACATCTTATTTACAGTATCTTGACGTAAAATAAAATCTATCATTATTGTCATCTTTACCTAATTGAAATTTCTTTTAAAAAAGTTTGATACAATACAGTTTTAATTTCAGTTTCTGTGCTTCTGCACTAATATAAAATTTATCAAAATAAAACAAAAGCTTTACCAGAATCATTTTGACATAGATATGAATAATGAGAAGATTTACATTATATTTTTTCACTATTTACTTTAAATGTACCATGAGCTATCCAACTCAGGGCTGAAGCAAAAGATCTCCCTGTTTTAATTTTGATCATAAATCTGTAACCTTGTGGACTGACTCACCCATTGACTGCATGGCTTTAAGGATTCTGTAACTGGTATAAAACATCAACATAGCCATCAGCACCAAAAGGGAAATCCCAGTCACAAATCCGGCCTAAAAATAAACCACAATCCATTTGTCATCACAAAAATGCAAATCTATAGTCATAGTTGATACAAAGTCATATTATATATAACAGTAGATAGTAAATAGAACTTGTACCTGTCTTATGGCCCAGGGCATGCTCAGTATTGAGGTCCCCATCATTGTGTTCCATAATGAGAATCTAAAAACAACACACACAAGAAACTGGTTAATTTAATACACTCAACAGCTCTTATAAATAAAGAATCAATTAATAAATTAATTAAATCACAAGGATTTACCATTAATTTAAGTTCAGGGAGTGGAAGGAGAGAAAGTGGGAGGAGAGAAGTGACGGAGATATCAGAAGGTAAAAACAGAGAGAAATCAACATAAAGTGGGACATGAATATAAATTTTTATGCACCTAGAAAACTTAACACATTTTTTTAAATAAGTAGAAACTAACTTAGATAAAAATTGTATTCTTGTTTATTTATAATGGCCACTACTTACACTATTATGAGACTGCTTTGCTTCCCCTGAGTTATTACAGGACTTACACTGTTATGATTACAGGAATTACAATGTTATGATTACAGAACTTACAATGTTATGATTACAGGACTTATACTGTTATGGTTACAGGACTTACACTGTTATGGTTACAGGACTTACACTGTTATGGTTACAGGACTTACAATGTTATGGTTACAGGACTTACACTGTTAGGATTACAGGCCTTACACTGTTATGATTACAGGAATTACAATGTTATGATTACAGGACTTACACTGTTATGATTACAGGACTTACACTGTTAGGATTACAGGACTTACACCGTTATGATTACAGGAATTACAATGTTATGATTACAGGACTTACACTGTTAGGATTACAGGACTTACACTGTTATGATTAGAGGACTTACACTGTTATGATAACAGGACTTACACTGTTATGATTACAGGACTTAGACTGTTAGGATTACAGGACTTACACTGTTAGGATTACAGGACTTACACTGTTAGGATTACAGGACTTACACTGTTAGGATTACAGAACTTATACTGTTAGGATTACAGGACTTACACTGTTAGGATTACAGGCCACTTACACTGTTAGGATTACAGGACTTACACTGTTAGGATTACAGGACTTACACTGTTAGGATTACAGGACTTACACTGTTAGGATTACAGGACTTACACTGTTAGGATTACAGGACTTACACCATTATGATTACAGGACTTACACTGTTAGGATTACAGGAATTACAATGTTAGGATTACAGGACTTACACTGTTAGGATAACAGGACTTACACTGTTATGACAGGACTTACAATGTTATGACAGGACTTACACTGTTATGATTACAGGACTTACACTGTTATGATTACAGGACTTACACTGTTATTACAGGACTTATACTTTTATGATTACAGGACTTACACTGTTAGGATTACAGGACTTACACTGTTCTGATTTCAGGACTTACACTGTTATGATTACAGGACTTACAATGTTATGGTTACAGGACTTACACTGTTATGATTACAGGCCACTTACACTGTTATGATTACAGGACTTACACTGTTATGATTACAGGACTTACACTGTTAAGATTACAGGACTTACACTGTTATAATTACAGGACTTATACTGTTAGGATTACAGGACTTACACTGTTATGACAGGACTTACACTGTTAGGATTACAGGACTTACACTGTAATGATTACAGGACTTACACTGTTAAGATTACAGGACTTACACTGTTATAATTACAGGACTTATACTGTTAGGATTACAGGACTTACAGGACTTACACTGTTATGATTACAGGACTTACACTGTAATGATTACAGGACTTACACTGTTATGATTACAGGACTTACATTGTTATGAGACTGCTTTGCTTCCCTTGAGTTATCACAGGAATTACAATGTGGAAATCAGGTGGCACCACATGGTCTGGCATTTGCTTAATGAAGAAAAAGAACAGTTTAAGTCAATAAATACAGCAAAATAATACAGAAAAAAGATGATAGAGCAGTGACACAAAAATAAAACAATAATAAATGCACACATAAAAACTTGAATTGTTACATAAATTATCTATTATATCAAACTTTTTTGCAATGAATACTGTTTATAGAAAACTTTGTCATTTTCAACATTACTGGTAGCAAATATTTCTTTAATTTGCTTTCAAAGTATTCAGTTTTCCATTGATACATGTATTTTTGACATAAGAATATCAAGCAGATGATGACCTTTGTTATCTGTTTATTTTTTTGTACAGAGTTTTTTAGACTTTACCAGTCAAAATTGATAAAAGGATTTAAATATTTGTAAAATTGACAGAAAAAGACCACTTTTTTGTTTTTTTATCCCCTCACTGATTAAATTAGCAGGAATACAATTTGTGATGACAAGAATTTTCAACTTACAAACGAGCTCTCACTGTGCGGAGCCAGTCTACCATAATATCTGTATCTAAGGAGAACGCCAGTTGTAGATCCTCTGTCATGATTATTGCTGTCTGATAAGGAACCAAAATGAACTGGTTGTCTGCAAACCACAAAATTATATATCTAAAATTTACATTCACAAATACTTTTATTTTAAATACTAAAGAGTGAAAATTTTATTTTAGTACGGACTTTCTCATGAATCAAGAGGTCATGACACAGGTCAAAGTTTAAGGTAGGTGGCAGGGTTGCAGACCATTTGAACTGCCCAAAGACATTACATATTATAATAATTTGAAAAATTTATCCCCAACCTTTTTGTTTTATATTTTCTGCAAATTTCATGAAAATTTTCTGCATTGTTTTCATGTAATAAAATCCTAAACATGCCACTGTTGTTGCCACCTTTTCAACATTATTCTATTGAATTAACGTAGAACCTACGTCGTATGACGTCATACTGAGAAAATTAGTTTAGACTGCTAGATCAATTATGACGTCATAATTAATTTAATGTTACTTTTCCCGTACTTTCTTCAAGAATGTCTCATGTAATGAAGTTACACAACTGTGATAATGTGAATGACATGCAACTGTTTTGAAGGAAATCAAAAATCCTAAGAAATCTAAATAGTACAATATCTTGATGAAAAGTGTCTGAGTCAAAGATCTGTTAAAAATTGTGTGTAAATTTTGTAATGTCTATCATGAAATGACGTGCATTCCCTTTCATAATTATTTGTTAATTATTCATAATGGTTGGTGTATAATAAATATTTCCATTTCTATTTTTTTTTTCTCTGTGATAACTCTTTGAAAGTTAGGAGAGTTGATTTCTTGATCATTCTAACGGAATGCAAATTTTGCCAAGCGAAAGGTCAGTAGCTAAGAAGGCATAATATGCATGTAATTCTCGTGTGGCTGTCTTTGTGTCTGACTCTAAGGAGGCCTAATATGCATGTAATTCTCGTGCGGCTGTCTTTGTGTTTGAAGTCAGTGGGCAGGGACAATTGAAATTGACATGTGAGCCATCGTGTAATTTAAATCTATTAGTCTACATTTTTATAATCTAAATTTACAATTTTATTTCAAAATGAAATGGAAATATAAGGAATCACTGTCTAGTTAGTAGAGTATGCCAGGGACATCAACGATAGATGGAAACGTGGGATAATTTATGCAAAACGGGCTTCGCCCGTTATGCAAATTATCCCACGTTTCTAACTATCGTTGATGCCCTGGCATACTCTACTAACTAGACAGTGATTCCTTAATAATGTTTCCCGAAAATATTATCTTTTTAAATAAAAAAAATACATTTCTTGATAAATATTCACATTGTAAATCTGAACGTAACTCCAAAACAGTAATTTAATAATTAAATCCTGTGTAAGTGCAGAAAGGTCAACAAAAGAAGTATGGATAAATAGAGTGTTCTCATTCATTTGTGGGGAAAGGTATATATTTTAATCACTTTTTGTAATTATTTGGGTATATTCTTCATCATATTAAAGATTGAAAACATTCTGACAAAGACTTTTGAAAAATATTTACAAATTTAGGTGGTAAATTGACTCAAAAAATATTGAGCACATTTGCCTATATTCATTGAAATGTGGACTTAATCTTTTATGTCAATTGAATAAAAAAGAATTTATTCTTGAATAATATTGCTTAATATGGTTAAGTTAATAAAGTCTATAAACGACGATGTTTGAAGAAGTATTTTAGTGATTTACTATATTCTCTTTATGACCAGTACCCCTAAAAATGGCTGAAAATATGTAGTCGCAGTGTAAAATTATCCTTCCAAGTTGCACAGACTGCACTACATTTAATAACGAAGAAACATGCCATATATTTTTAACTGATTGATAAGCGAGAGCTAATTCATCATTTTTGAAAAGTTTGAAAATCTTGTGACAAAGACTTTTCCGACGTCGGTTCTTCCTTAAATACAAATAACATAATTTTTACTCATTTTCAACAAGATTTTGTTTCAAGATGTAATATATTTTTAAACAAGAGGCCCAAGGTCCTTAACGGTCACCTGAGTATAATACAACAATTTAGAAGTTAAATACACTGATGGATGAAGCTTTGTTGCCCTAAAGCAAGAGAAGTAGGAAGATCAGGATCAACAAAATAATTAGTCTAGTATTCAGTATCAACTCATAAATTAAGTTCTAATCTGTCCCCCACTTAACACTACCACCATGCAGACTATTAACAAACTATTAGTGCTTCTGTACTATTTTTAAACCCATATTAAGACCTCTAGCATTGACCTCTCTTTTGGTCTTTGAAGAACTTTTAATAAGATAAGTTATTTTTGTCTCATTTTTATTTTTCTATTACTTACAGGTCTGCCTGATTATTAAAACTAAGAAAGTATTTTTGAATTATACGATAACATTCTTGCATAATTATCTTATTCTATTAATCTTTCAAATACATTATTTACAGTGATTAATTATCAAAGGTGAATGGAAAAGGGGAATAACTTCTCTCAGTAGAATACAAATTAATAGAGCCCTGTCCAGGACCAGAATGCTTAGACAAATGGTCCAGATGTTCAAAAATCTGGTAGAAATACGCTTACTTATATCATTTAAACTTTTACTCAGTTTGCTTTCGATATGCCCAGAAGCAGAGAAGAATTTCACAGGTACAATGCATTTTCACTACAGATTCAACAAAGCCTTACCCTAACACCAGAACCCAAGACCAAAGCTGCAAAGGTCAAGAAATTTACAAATTTGGAAGAGTTACCCTCATCATCATAACTATGGACTTCAAAGAATTAACACTTTTCCACTATATTATCAAAAGCCCCCCCCCCCCCCCCCTCTTCCTCGTTATGCCAGAACCCCTGACCCTAGGACCACAAGATTTAAAAATTCTGTTCAAAGCTCCCATCTTCATCATAGCAAAGCAATTTATTTATCAGCTCAACACTAAGGAGCAGACAGGATTAGTTAATGATTAATTAATAGAATTAATGCATTTTCACTATATAATCAATAGAGCCCCCCTCCCCCCCTCCTCAAGAACCCCAAAAACTGAGGCCATGTATTTAAAAATTTTGGAAGAAGCATCCTTGCCTATCATAATCATGCACTTAGTTTGTTTAAATAATCTCCAGTAGCAAAGAAGAAGATTTTCATAGGAATAATGCACTTTCACTATATGATCTATATAGCCCCACCCTGGGGCCAGAACCCCTGACCCTGGGGCCATGAATTTCATAATTTTGAAAGAGGCACTCTTGCTCATCATAACTATGTACTTAGTTACTTTATTTAATACCCAGGAGCAGAGAAGAAGATTTTCAAAGAATTAATGCATTTTCACTATATAATCTATAGAGCCCCGCCCTAACACCAGAACCCCTGACCCTGGGGCCATGAATTTCACAATTTTGGAAGAGGCACTCTTGCTCATCATAACTATGTACTTAGTTACCTTATTTAATACCTAGGAGCAGAGAAGAAGATTTTCAAAGAAATAATGCACTTTCACTATATGATCTATATAGCCCCACCCTGGGGCCAGAACCCCTGACCCTGGGGCCATGAATTTCACAATTTTGGAAGAGGCACTCTTGCTCATCATAACTATGTACTTAGTTACTTTATTTAATACCCAGGAGCAGAGAAGAAGATTTTCAAAGAATAAATGCATTTTCACTATATAATCTATAGAGCCCCGCCTAACACCAGAACCCCTGACCCTGGGGCCATGAATTTCACAATTTTGGAAGAGGCACTCTTGCTCATCATAACTCTGTACTTAATTACTTTATTTAATACCCAGGAGCAGAGAAGAAGATTTTCAAAGAAATAATGCACTTTCACCATATGATCTATATAGCCCCACCCTGGGGCCAGAACCCCTGACCCTGGGGCCATGAATTTCACAATTTTGGTAGAGGGCTCAATGCTTATTACAATGATGCCAACAGTTTGACTGCTTGATGTCCAGGAGTAAAGAAGAAGATTTTTAAAGATTGCATTATTTTTGGTGGTTTTAGCCCCACCCCTCAGGCCCCAGGGGTGCAGGGACCATGAAATTCATAATTTTTGTTCCCCTTCACCCATAGATGCTATATGCCAAATTTGGTTGAAATTGGTTAAGCGGTTTCAGAGAAGAAGCTAAAAATGTTCAAATGTTAACACACGACGCACGCCGACGGACGAGAACGGATAGCAATAGGTCACCTGAGTGACTCAGGTGACCTAAAAATGGTACAGATGAATCTGTTGCCCTTTGGTCATTTACCAAAGAGATGAACATTTTTTATACAATGTGAATTTGTTTGTGTACAAACCTTCTCCTTTCTGTTTGATCAGGTGGTGATCTGTAAATAAATTTCACATTTAAGTAAGAATTAGGCCTTAGAAATGATACATTTTATTCTATTCACTTATCATTTATTTTTTTTTAAAAGATACAAATTTAGAAAATATATTGATTGCACATTGAAAAAGTTAATAATGAAAAAAAAAAAACAAGTTTTATATTCTTTCTTGTCCTGAGATGGACAAGTAAAAATTGTTGAACCCTGTTTACATACTTTTGTGTCAACTTTATGAAATTTTGCAACTTTATTCTTTTCTTAATATGTAAAATATTTGTCTGAATTAAACGAGACGTAAAACCGATAATCATAAATATAATACTATAATCACAGGCCTCTGAATTTCTATCAATAAGCCGTTATATGATTGATCAGAGCGATATATATATATAAATATATATATATATATATATATATATATATATATATATATATATATATATATATATATATATATATATCCTCTCTATATAAATTTATTACATGCTTAGTAATAAATACAGGATTTTTGCATTTGCAATATGCCTGACATCACAATAGCTGTATCAGTCCTGAAGGGCTGATACAGATCAATATCACATCCGTAGTAAATTAAACCTTAAAAAACAGTAATTGTGATTAATACACTTTTTTTTGGTTCATATTCTCTTAATTTTAAAATTACTGATCTTTGAAACAATAAACTATGTACATGTCATTTGTCAGTGCATGATTATTTATTTGTTTTTTTTCTCGAGTTGACGTGTGCTGTATTATATACGAAAGGCTATTAGGATCAATCTATAGAGAAAAAAAATTTAAGAGGCGTTATTACGCCTGTTCTAAAAGACATTATTACACCTTTCAAAAAGGCGTTATTACACCTTTTCTAAAGGTGTTATTATGCCTTTCCAAAAGGCGTTATTACGCCTTTTCAAAAAGCGTTATTACACCTTTCCAAAAGGCTTTATTACGCCTTTTGAAGAACCATTATTATGCCTTTGACAGGTCCGTGCTTTTGAAGGGGGGGGAGCCTCCCAAAAAATTGACAAGCAAACAAAAAACAAGACCCCCCCCCCCCCCCCCAAAAAAAAAACTAAACTGCATAAACTCAAGGGGGATCTTTTTCTAACTTTTCGGTAAAACATTCTTTTAAATGCAATTATTTGCCAGAGTTTAACCATATTGCAACAAAATGTCCAGGGACCAAGCAGCAAATAATTGAATTTTTTTTTTTAAACTATAGCAAGACTTTTCTCCCCTAAAGGTGGGGTGGGGGAGCCCTCCCCCCCCTCGCACTACCGGCCTGTTTGAAAAGGCGTTATGTCCAAAAATGGAAAGGTGTTATTTTATATTAATAAATATATGAAAGATTGAATCAAAGCCATCTTTATTTATGCAATATTTAAAAGTATTTTCTATGTTCCTGCACATCTCGCAGACAACTGTTTGCATGCATATTACGAGAAGTCAACACTCAGCAGATGCTATGTATTAAAAATTCATGTCAAATCTGAAAATGTTTTCCTCTCCTCTTGGAAAAAAAGCATACAAACTATTTGCATGGGTATAATGAGCAAATAGCCTTCAACCAAATTTGTGAAATCAATGACCCTTTGTAGAGGTGTCCGGCATCAGAGAAGGGCTAAGTTGGTTTATCATTAAAAATATTTTACACATTCAAAAATATTTTTTTCCTGGAAATCTAATTACAATGTTTAAATTATTTTTTGAGAAATTAGCCATATTTTTTATTGTGAAATTCATGTCCTGAGGGTAAGATTTCAGCAGCCCCTGGGGCGAGCTAAGTTAGTCATGTATTGAAAATAAAAGGTGTATTGAAAAGGCGTAATAATGCCTTTTAGAAAGGCATGATAACGCCTTTTGAAAAGCCTAATAACGCCTTTTTGAAAGGCATAATAACGCCTTTTAGAAAGGGGTACTAATGCCTTTTTGAAAGGCGTAATAACCCCTTTAGAAAGGCGTTATTATGCCTTTTAATTACATCTTTTGGAAAGGCATAATAACGCCTTTTGAAAAGGCGTAATAACGCCTTTTGAAAAGCCGTAATAACGCCTTTTTGAAAGGCATAATAACACCTTTTAGAAAGGCGTACTAATGCCTTTTTGAAAGGCTTAATAAAGCTTTAATAAGGCTTTAGAAAGGTGTTATTATGCCTTTAAGAAAGGCGTAATAACGCCTTTTTTCGCGTTACTACGCCTTTTTTCGCATTATTACGCCTTTTTGAAAGGCATTATAACGCCTTTTTGTTCATGTTATTATGACTTTTCGAAAGGTGTTATAACGCCTTTTAAATTTTTTCTCTCCATAGCTTGATCTTAATAGGCTTTCGTAATTATATTATACAGTTATGTAATGGGTATGAGGGAAATAGCAAATTTATGGTTCCCCGAGGGAGGAAACTATTTCCCGAGGCGGCGAAGCCGCCGAGGGAAACAGTTTCCTGCCGAGGGGAACCATAAATTTGGTATTTCCCGAGTACCCATTCCATAACTGTTTTATTATACCGAAACAAACAAAGGAGATTTATTAACTAGAGACTCAGACATTTTTAAAACAATATAGAGGCATTTATATAAATAATCAAAAATGCGCGTGATTCCAGTTTTGTTAAATATGTAATGCATCAATACGGAAAAAATAAAAATTAAAAAAAAAAAAATAATTTCACTAACATTTCGAAGGATTATCGTTGCCCTCTTTTTGCTTAGAAATTCCAGTATGATTTTGACATCGCATGTCGAAATGCTTTGATGTCATAGTTACATTGCTAATAACATTACGTCACGGACTCGAGATTCCTTGAACGCTTCGCCCAATGTTCATTTTGATTGGTTAAAATTAATAATAAATATTCATGAGGGAGTAGTCCAAGGGAGTAGCTCTGATTTTTCAGGGAGTAGTCCTCAGATGGGGGAAATAGTATCTTCTCGGGGAAAAAAGACAGTTTTATGGTATTGATTTTATATAGAGTAATAAGAGTAGAGGTATAATAATACTAATTATGTAACATAATAAAACATACCTTTTCCACATCACATCCTGTATTAGCGCCCTCGACCATTATCAACTTCTAGCTGATTGGTGTCTCGGGCTGATACAGGATGTGATGTGGAAAAAGGTATGTATTATTCTATATATATATATATATAGAGAGAGAGAGATGGAGTAAACGTAACACTCTGATCAATCATATTGATAGAAATTCAGAGGCCTGTGCAGTAATCATGGTAATTGTCGATAAGTTTCTAAAACTTCATAGACATGTGGAATACAGTTGTAAAGATAATTGTAAAAGACTCTGGTATTACAGTGGAATTTATAATTTAAATAAACATCTACTTAAAGATACGTGATAAAGGTCAAGTCAAACAGCTGATTGTGCAGTCTGCTATTAGAGTCTCTCCCCTTTTTACTGTGGTTCCTGTTTGATACATGTATTCATCACGCACCTGTTGTTTATCGATGTATTTTGAGAACTGCCACTTCTTTTCAAGAGCGGATCCTCTTCCCCTGGTTCTCCATTAATCGACATTCCTCAAAATACACCCCCAAGTTAGATCTTGACCATCACCATTAAAACCGGAAGTTTAATCTGTCCATTGAAGAAAGAAGTAGGAATATTCAGATCGGTGGTTCACTTTTTTTCCGATATGAAGCGTAAATATTTTCTCAAGTGGCCTTGCTGTACACATTTTGAAGGGTTATCTTTAATGATACAAATCATGCGCTTATGATGTATATTTCCTACACTACATCTGTACATGTACATTGCTTTATACAATCTGTGCACATATTTGGATTATAAGGGAAAGTGCTCTACAAATGCAAGTGGAGAAATTTTCTTGACTACTTTTAAATAAAAGGATTAAAGAAAAAATAGCAAAAAGTGGGTAATTAAAAAAAAAAATTAATGTCATGGAAACACTGAAATTATGGGATCCCCCCCCCCCCTTTGGTTGAAACCATTACATTGACCACATATAGTGGAAAAGGCAATTATGAAGACAGGGGGTGCATTGCGGTTCTGGGTGGCAAAATGAGAGTGGTAGGCCCTCTTGCTGATCCAATTAAACAATTAAATGTAGACTTCAAACGAGATTTATGTACACATATTGTTGAGGGATATATCTTTACCTCCCATTTTAATACAGGCACATGGATAATATACCCCTCTACAACCCCCCTCCCCCCAACCCTTTTACCTTATTACCAAAGAATAATAGTCTACATAAGATTCTTTTTTTTTTCTTGAAAAATATGTGATTTGAACATGTATGGTAAAAACAGCACAAACCAATTGCATAGAATGATGAAGATGGAATAGGTGGAGAAATACATATTTTCTAGAAAATATACCGTAGATACTTGTTTTAATTTGGTGTTTTAATATAGGCGATTTAGGAGGAGGTAATGCAGATATGAACGTTATTCAGTATCCACGCTTCAGAGGCCTTCGATTTTGATGGATCATATTATGAGTGGTGTCTTTTTTTTTGGTATTATATAAAGTCTATACCCTCTAATCATGAGACTTCCAAGTTAACACATGAAGCCATTACCATGTGCAGTGACTGTGCAGTCAAAGTATCACAACAGACCCTTCAGATCTTTAAGCCAGAATCTGCATCTGATGCAAGTACTGTAAATATGCATCTATATATATTTAACTGCTAGTCCCCGTCTTCCATACTGTTTACTTTGAAACCTTTTTCCCAGTATTACATATACCAGAGGCCTGTTCAGCAGAGCGAACGTTCGTGAGGGCTCGCCAAAATTCCTTATCTTTCCAACAGAAATGTTCGTGAGAGCTTGCGAACGTTCGCTCTGTTGAACAGGCCTCCGGCCACTCACAGATATGAATTGTGGACACTTTCCTTCGAGTTGCTACATCTCTGTTGATAGCATGTGTGGAGTTTTTAGCTAGCTGCAGATTTAGCAATTTTTCTTAAATATTTAATTTTAGCAATTTTGTAATGCCTAGAAAGATGACAGTGATATCCAGTATGGAATTGTTATCGATATACAATTTTAGCGACACACATTTGCTAAAAATGCCAAAATGGAATCAATAAAATTTCTGCTTCTATGGTAATTCTGTAACCTGGATCTGTACAGTAGTGGCCTTGTCTCCCTTACGTCCTTCCTCAGCAGCATGAGAACATGACACATGAAGACATTAGGGCATTTTTCAACTTGATTTTCTCAGTAATATTTCACAAGTTACAAAGACTTCAGTAAAATTTTATTGACATAAAAATGACAGGGATATAAAATGAGCAATTTAAAATCACAGAGACCAAGACCATTGAGTTACTGATTTATACAAACTATAAAGTATTGTATAAGACATTCTGTAATTAAACAGACATGGACCCTGTGGATAAAACATGATTGCATTAAAATGTACAAGATCTCGCATACATAAAGTAACAAACATCATCATTTATAGACCATTTGTTGAATCTCACATAAATTACATTTAACTCATATAATTCTATTCTCTATTTTATTTAAATAATTTCAAGCAATTTTGTAATTTTATGAATGACAATTTTACACTAGAGGGAACACAGAAGGCTTCATAAATCATAATACAAGTTCAGTATAAACAAATGAACATTATCCAGGATTTGGTGAGATCTGCGTGTGATGAGTGATGGAGAAGATAAAAGTCCTGCTTTTTTTCTGCTGCACTAAAAGTTTCTGACATTCACTGCTGCACTGTTGGTTGCTATGGTGATCTAAGTCATCAGGAGGCTTCCTCACTGGCCAGAAGTACAGTGTGCTGCCCACCCCCACTCACTGCTATCACTTTCCTGGAAAAAAAATGTAAACAATTCACAATTTAAACAAAAATTTACAAGAGCTACATGTATATATATACAAGGCCAAAAAAAATTAAATATACATTTTAATATTTGTGGTTAAATAACAATATCCTTTACTGGGCCCAAGTTGCAATTAAGGAAAAAAAAGAAAAACCAGGGCTTGTCCAAATGATTTTTATTTTGGTCACTTCATATCCTCTGATAAATCATTTACTTGTTCAAAGAATGAGATCCTAACACTCTTACACGTTTTTAAACCTGATGAGCATTTTAACAGGTCTAGGCGGCCTCTGTTTTTGGAGGATAGATTTTATCCTCTAAAAACAGAGGATAGAGGTGTCGCCACCTACCGGATTTTTCAAAATAAAGGGCAGTTAACTCTTAACCAAACAAATAACAGCAACTCTTGCATTTATCTGTTTATGAACCGTAACAAATAAAACGTAAAATTTCATGTGATGATGGATAATCTAGATATTAAATCAATATAACATAATTTATTTTGTAAATGCTGTCAATCAATTTTTTTAGTTTTAATTAAACTTTAAAGGTTAGTTAACAACGATCACCCTTACCTGTCTGAGACGTTAATTACTACCAAGCCGATTTTCCTGTACCGTAATTATGTGTAAAATGGTTTACAAATGTTGATAATTTTTTTTTTTTTTTTTTTTTTTTTTTTTTTTTTTTTTTTGAAAAATTAAGTTTATGTATTACTAGTATTTCATTTAATGAATAATTCTGAAACACATCATTTTTGTAATATTTTGTTTTAATTTATTATACATCTGTATGTACATGTATATAATAATGTTAATTTCTTAGTAAACATGTTAAATTATCTATTTTATTTATTTATATGCTTTTCAAATAATTTTTTTTTTTTTTATAATATTATTTATTTATCTGTTTAATTTATATTCATTCATTGCTTAAATTATAAGGCAGAGTATATTTTGTGTTTAAAATACGTTTCCTTATGTGTTTCTTTTTTTCTTCATTTTTAAATTAAGAGAAAATATGAAAGTAATATTATTTAAGTCCCTTTTTATTTGTCTTGATAGGGAAAAGCATAAAAATATAACAAAATGCCAAGAAATATTAAGTAAAAATGGAGTACAAGAAGTGCCAACTTTGAAAGCGTATTGTAAAAATTCTAGACATAGAATCTCAAATCGCCACATACAATCGATAGTTTAATGTTTGAACTTTAATATACATGTACTCTGGTGCTTGCACTTTTTGATTAAAGGTAGGCATGAGGCGTTTGAAAATTACCTGTGTTATCCTCTGAAATTGGAGGATAAACTATCCCACAATGCAATGCGGTTTCCATATATGGTAAAAAATTTGGCCGCCATATTGAATTAAGCTATCCTCCAAAAACGGAGGCCGCCTAGACCTGTTTAAAGCAGAATCACCATAGCCTGCCCTTTTTTGCTGTACAAGATAATAATGCATACCTAGTTAAGGATCCAGCAAGAATTTTATACATTTCTAATCCCTGTGACTCTGAATCAGAGTTATGACACACTCCTTGGTCATACTACCTTAAAGCTAAGTATATTTCAAAAGTTCAAAGCAAGGTTAGAGTTGAAGAAAGGCAGAGACAAAGAATCATCATAACAATGTGACCCTCTTCCCATCTCCACCCCAATCTTAGGTCTTGAGGGCAAGATATAGTATTTACTGACTAAATCCATTTTTTCCTACCTGGAGTTAAGTTGTTTTCCTGTCATTTTCTGAGGTGTTGTAATGTCTTCATCTTCTCCAGACCCCAGTTGTTGACTGGTTCCCATACCCCATGCATACACTTCACCTGTAAGTAAATGAATGTAAAACAATTTAAAAAAAAGCAATTGAAAATGTTGTAGCTCTGATTGAGTAAGAGTATAGGAGACCACCTGTAAGGGGGGTTGGGGGTTGGGGGGGGGGGGGGGTTGTGATATAATTAATATTGTTGTACCTGATTGAGTGAGGATATAGAATTGTTTCCAAGGGGGATGGGGTGAGATTAGATATAACGACATATAATTGATATACCTGATTCAGTAAGAGCATAGGAGACGGCCTGTCCAGCTGCCACCTGTTTACATGGGGGAAGGTCAAGGACAGCGGGGACTCTCTTTTCCTCGTTGGAATCCCCATGTCCGAGTCTGCCATATTCTCCTCTCCCGACTGTGTACACCTTCCCTGAAACATCATCAAAAGAATTAGAGTAGGTTAGATTTCCTTACACCATTATGTCATAAACAGAGTTTGTCAAATTGATATCAGTGACTTTTGAATCGAAAATGATTCTTTCAAAAAAGCAACCGCCATGCAGGTAAATGGCCTTCTTGCAACCAAAACAGAGCAATGTTCACTTAAGGCCTTTTTTTGCCCTGTAAATTTCTGAAAAATCAACTGCTGACTTTAAGTTGACAATGCATTGAGTATCACTATGGCTTTATATCTATTGAAAATAACATAACTTTCTGGCTTGTCAATGCATTATGACATCATAAACTGCATCATTATTCCCATATCCTGAAACCTCTGGTCCAAAATGTGCAATTATGTTATGATAGAACTGTTCCATTTATCTCTATTATTATGAAATAGTAACCTTCATGGAGTAACATGTAAATCACTGTATTTATGACTTACCGGCAGTGTCTAGACAAATGGCATGATGTTGGCCAGCATCGACCATCATAACTTTGATATTCTCCGACATAGATGTGACATACTCGGGGACGAATCTGTTTTCAAGGTCATTGGTTCCTGACAGAAATATACAAGAAAACTCTACATTATAATAATCAAATCAGGGCTAGAAAGTATGGATAATAAAAAGAAGGTGAAAAAATATTTCATTTCAACAATTTCAACTTTCATTTATAAACTCTTTGTTTTTAGATCTTGGAGGCTGAAGATATGAAAGATAGAAAAAATATCAGTTGATATTCTACTTCTTTATCATTTCATGCAATTTGTGCTCAAAACACATTTCATTTTAGATCTAGAGGTTTTTGTCATGTTTATGCTATGTAGTTCATAGCTCAAATTCAAAACAGAATTAGTATTTACATGTACTTCAAGTTCTACTTTTTCTTATAATAAAGTTATTTAAAATTGTTTTTCAGATTGTCTGTTTCTCTACTTACCTAGCTGATAGTAATTATTGAGACCCCAGGCATATATAGCTCCGGTTTCCTTTTCTCGGGCATACGACATGTACTGTCCACAAAACACATCATCAAATAACACTCGCTTCCTAGATTTATGTCGCAAACATCTAATAACACCTGGTTTTAATATATAATCTGCAAAATAAAAAATCATGTGATTTTAAATCAACTTTTCAAACCAAAACTTAGAAACCATACTACAAGGGAGGTAATCCAAGAATTTATAAACTGTAGATAAAATGCAAATTGGAAACAATACCTATCTATTCAGTATATTCTGTCTGTGTACTATGTTTTTGTTATTGAAAAGAAAAATAAATCAAGTGAATCCTACCTAGACCTTTCCTTCCTCCTCGCACAGAAAAGCACTCTGCCACTCTTCCCAGCTGTCCTTGTTCAGCACACCCTATAAAATAAGATAGGTAAAAGTGCTATAGGATCAATCTTATAAAAAAAATTTAATAACATCATAGCTAATCTATCCATATAGTTATTTTTTTGTCAATATTAACATGATAAACATAGTTGGAGTACACGTATATAAGAATTCTCACCACAGGAGTAGATTTCTCCCTTCTCTGTCAGACACAGTAGATGATCCCCACCGGAGGCGATCTTGACGACTGTTTCCCCTGGTAACATCTCTATAGGCTTCTCCATGATGCCATCTGGTGTCAGCCCTATCTTACCATTAGCATCCTGCACAGAGACAAAAAAAAAATGACCAATCATCTTAATTAATGTGGAGAAATGATCAATTCACTTAACTCATGTGAAGAAACTTTTAGGGATTTTAATAATTAAACATAACAGTAAACTAATCATCACTGATTTTGTTCTTCACTTTAAGCTTCTTTTTTTTTAAATACCAATTGAGAAAAAAGGATTTGTTGAAATCCAGAAAACAGATAAATCATAGTTATAAAATCTTCTGTCTATCAAATAAGTTACAGCTACACAGGGATGTGGAAAACCTGTAAATTAATGTTTTCCTTTTTTTCAAAACAATATGCACAACAGTTATACTTACTCTGAAATTTCCCCAGGCAAAGACCTTCCCTTCATCTGTCAGTACTGCTGAGTGACTGTCCCCAGCAGACAGCTGAATCCCTCGACCGAGGAAATCCACCTTGCCTGGGAGGGTTTCAGACCCCTCCTCTGACGTGTTTCTCCCTAAAGCACCCTCATCATTGCACCCAAAGGTATACACCTGAAAGTGAAAGTAACCAATCATAACCGCCAATGTACACTGCACGAACCTTAAAGAGAAAGTAGCAAATAAGTACAGCAAAAAAATTTAACCTCAGTTGTATAAAACACTTCAATGGAAAGCAAGAATGCAAGCAATTTTAAAACAAATTGAGATTGTGGAGGGAATGAAGAAAAACTCTCAATTTAAAATTTACTGTTCAATCTAAAGGAAATTTACTTTCATAATTCCCAATATTGTTTCTTAAAACAATAGTTAAAGCTATCCATTTTCAAGTTTTAATACTTACCTCGCCTTTGTTAGTTAAACACACAGTGTGCATGCCCCCAGCTACTGCTGAAACTATTTTCTGATTTTCAATGTTGACAAGAGCAGGTCGACTTTTTTCCATGACATCAGGACCAAGACCAAGCTGGCCGACATCTCCTTCCCCACAGGCCAGGACGACACCCGTAACCGTCACATCAGGGTGGGAGGGGTGTGTTACTAAATAAAGAAACACAATACAATAAACATAGTACAGCAATCATCATGGTTTTATTGAAGAAGACACAAATTATTTTCATCTTTACCAGAAATACCTGAACCTGATAACTTACTTTTGTGTTTCTTACTAGCGACCTTATTTTCCCCCTCCGACTCCCGAGCTCGCTTTCTCCCTCTTCCAGGCATCTGTAATTTAAAAAACTGAGTAATACGTCATCCATTATTGAGATGCCTTTAGAGTTGATATAAAACATTGTGCAAGAGTTGATCCATATTTTATTATATATCCCCCGGTATATACTGTAGAAGCACAAATTTTCGTGGGGATAAAATTTTGTTGAATTGTCATCTAAAAGGGTTTTGTAGCATTAAATTTTGTTGTTTCGAAAATTGAAAGTAACTCTATTCAATATATAGTCATCAAAAATTTTGTGTGGGATTTAATTTCATTGATAACTGTTAACAAAATAAACAAAATTTAATCCCCAATGAATATTTCTGCTTTTACAGTAGTGATGGGGTGTCGGTCTGTCCATTAAAATTATCAGTAACTTAGAATGCACCAAATTTTAAATTCATTCTACTTGACATTATGAGGATTCTTATCTTAATATGGGAAAAATGAAGTCACTTGAGGCTAGAACCTTTTACCAGACTTGCATGGAGTAGTTATTAAACCCTGTACTGTCAACTTATGTTTTAGTATGATACAAATTAATTCAAACACTTCTATTTGTAACTATTGGACAGTCATTCATTCCAACATGCACATTTTTAATAAATACACAGAAAAAACAAGTTACACAATTATGTAACAATTTATATTCATCTTCATACAAAAATAACATATGTAAAAACAAGTCAATTCCCCTTTTTTTTTTTTTTTATTAAATAAGCTCTGCATGGCCCTGACCCCCCCCCCCCCCCCCCCCAACCAGCAATACTTACACAATACTTACAATACACAATACTTACCTGCTGTGAAACACTCATCCCCCCCCCCCCCCCAACTACTTACCTGTTGTAAAACAGTTCCCTCTTGGAAGATGAAATTCTGTTGTTCCTCAGAGAGAGTCATGATTGAGACTGGTTTGCAGAACCTACCTGTTGTGTACCTGTATATATCACCTGAACAATTGTCACCAGGGGTAATTACCCCTAGCTGAGTTCACTCACAGATGGACAGGTGTCATTATCTCACAATTACACAATGTCAACTGACCCCCACAGGATAAATCCCACCCCAATGATTCAATACCTCTGAATTAATGGTCATGCTGAATTTCTCTCTCAGACTACCTATAATTACTTATATATATATGTCTGGGAATAAACTTAATGTGTTTATATAATTATCACAGGTGTTCTAGGCTCTGTTTTCTAAGATGACATTTAATGTGACTGCCTGATAATGCAGACATTTATCACAGTTCAGTCCAGATTTACACATAAACATGATAAAAAAGCAGGCATTAATTACCTGGACAATCTACTTTTTGCTTATCTTTTCCTCATCTCTAAAAATCTATTCTATTTTACTCCATTAATCTCTTAAATTAATTCCATCTATCAAACTTTTCCACTAAATAAGCACCTGTACAACATATAATATATATGAAAAGCCAAACATAAAACAAATGTGTGGGGTTTTTTTGTTTCCGACTTAAAAAAATCTCTTGAGTTGGTCAAACCTACTTTTTCTCCATTTGTAATACCATTATCAAACATAAGATATACCATGTATACAGAGGGGCATAAAATTCTCTTTCTACAAGGACGTCCCCTTCTCTTTAAAAGAAATTTAATGTTATTTATCTAATATCTATATATAATCTCCATACTGAACATCTTGCAAAGTGATTTAGAAGTAAACTAACATAAAACAACTAACCATCCATGGTACTTAAAAAAGTGAAGAAAAGCTCATTTACATAATATTTTTGACAACCAATTTACAGTTTAATATAAATGTTGATGAAACATCTGAAAGTACTCAGAGCAAACACAAAGTCTGGTCAGGAGATGAAATTTCTTTCCGATATGTTGATTATTACTGAAAAGATTCATATAACGTCGAGTTATATTATTAATTTGGTAAAATTTGGGAAAGCACAGTTTCACTTTAATAATTTGACTCTTAATCACTATAGTACACTAATTAAATTAAACCAGAGACCTGACTGATGCAGAGGAATTTCGAGCTATGAAGTTGACACGTGCACTTCCTAAAAAAATATAGCGTCACGGAACCATTGTATACTAATTTTTATGCAAAATTTATTCGGCTATACATACCTTTGGACTACACTATTAAATTATGAGGTCTGTTTTCTTTACAATAAATGTTATTTACTTCGCTTAAAAGTCCCGCGCAATATTCCGGAACTTTCCGCTTTACGATCCCGATGGTGAGAAAAAGCGTTGGTGAAACGTCGAGCTTTGTAAAATTTGTAGGAAACCAAGTCTATATTGGTTTTTATAAATTCGAGGTATGGCAAACAATATTTTCACTTAGTTTAAGCTACTTTTTTCTTTAAAGAATATTTATTTCATACACATAATTCATTTTCATTACTTGACGCTGTATTTTTGTCTTATAATGATGTTAAAGTTAGAGGAAATTCGAAATACAAATTATGATAAGAAGGAAATGCAGTTCTCTACACTGAGGGTAGATTTCACTGTTTAGTATAATTTTTTTTTTCTATAATTTATCAATTTACTGCATCAACTTAGGTGTATAGTTTACTTGTTTCATGATAAATGCTATAACCAGGTCCAGCACAATCTCTTGATCAAGCTATATAGCTTGAAATAGCTATATAGCTTTATTAAGCTATTCAAAATAGCTTGATAAAGCTATTTATATGCAGGTTTTCACAAAAATTTTATTTGTACAAAATAGACAAAAAGTCGCAAGTATTTGACTATTCATATATTTAATATGGGTTATCAGATCAACAACCCAAATCAAAGATAGTTCTAACATTGCAGCATTTGAATACTTTTAAGCAAAAGATGAATTTCCATTGTTTGGGTAACTGTACACTACCTTGTGTGCGTTGAGGCATGGATAAGTATGATTGCTTCTCATTGTACTGAATTATTACCAATCAATTATCTTGTTGACCATAATTGGCCTCCTTTATAATTTCACTGAAGAAGTAACTGTATCAGCTGCTTTATATAGCCCCAAAACTTTTAGAACTTTGAGTACAAAGTCTCTTAAGGAGACGCAATTTGATGAGTGATTTTTACATGCATTATTTTCATAAGAGTTCAAGGTTGAATATCATCACTGCACCAAGGTGCGACTTTTTGTGCATACTTGGAAAATAACACATTTGAGAAAAAAGTGTGATAAAATAGCTAAATCAAGCTATTCTGAATAGCTTAATAAAGCTATATAGCTAAATCAAGCTATATAGCTTAATCAAGAGATTGTGCCCGACCTGATAACAAAGATTTATTTCATTTTGAATATTATTTTCAGTTACTTTTGAACAGTTAAGAATAAAATGGGAGACAGATACAACATCCACAGTCAGTTAGAGCACCTGCAGTCTAAGTACATTGGTACTGGTCATGCTGACACAAACAAGTGGGAGTGGCTGACCAATCAACACAGAGACAGTGCGGCTTCGTACATGGGACATGCTGACATGCTAAACTATTTTGCTTTAGCGGAAAACGAGTCTAAAGCCAGAGTCCGATTTAACTTGATGGAGCGTATGTTACAGCCATGTGGACCCCCACCAGAGAGGCCAGAGGATTGAGGCTTCTAGGGGGGAGAACTCTGTGAAAAGGGAGATGGCATGTTATTTGAAATGCACAATACACAATAATTAATTTTCAAGGATCATTCATTTGTTTTATATGTACTTTTAAGATCATCCTTTGATTTTCATTCCAATATTATTCTCATTTATGTAATGTTTATAGAAAGAAGAGATTTAGAGTTATGAGTGTATTATAACTGGTCAGATTATTTTAGGTTGAAGATTTTTTTGTCACTACTGCTGTGTAGCCTAATTATGTATCAGCATGTGAAAAGTAAAGCTAATTTTGTTTTAAACAGCTGTGTGGGGATTTTCCTGAAATTAATATTGTTATGTGGAAACTTTTAGATGTATTTATTAAAGGTACACAAATACAATGCTTTAATTCTTTGTTTTACGTTCAAACTATATGGCTGAACAATAATATCCATATCATGATATATTGCATTTTGTTGACAAAGAATATCATGTTGCAATATATTTTATTTTTTATAGTATTGATGCATAGTCAAATTGCTCTGACATTGACATTAAAATATTCAGTTTAAAATGTCAGAAACATGTGCCAAACAGTCAGGCAAAAGCTGAAGTCAACACACCAATGTGATGGACACAAGTCTTTTACATCATGTTTTGCTGAATGGTTCATCTTAATTTTATATTTTCAAATAATTTAATTCTGATTGTAATGCACTATTTGATTGGATAAAAAATTTACTTTATGTCGTATAAATTGGGTTGCCTACATCACATTGACTTGCGTTAAAAACGTATCGATCTGCCTGACGTTACATTTAAAATTTTGTACAATTTGAAGTCATTTTTTAAGGGCATTCATCTTTTTTCTTACACTAAATGAAAATTAAATTATAAGGTTTATAAAGCGTAAACTGCCCCAACCCACTTTATACCATATAAATTGGGTAGCTATTAAATTCATTCCTTAATTAAAACTGTAGTTTTAGAATAGATATATGTATATATATATATATATATATATATTTCCATTTCTATTTGTTTTCTCTGTGATAACTCTTTGAAAGTTAGGAGAGTTGATTTCTTGATCATTCTAACGGAATGCAAATTTTGCCAAGCGAAAGGTCAGTAGCTAAGAAGGCATAATATGCATGTAATTCTCGTGTGGCTGTCTTTGTGTCTGACTCTAAGGAGGCCTAATATGCATGTAATTCTCGTGCGGCTGTCTTTGTGTTTGAAGTCAGTGGGCGGGGACTATTGAAATTGACATGTGAGGTCTCGTGTAATTTAAATCTATTAGTCTACATTTTTAAAATCTAAATTTACAATTTTATTTTAAAATGAAATGGAAGTATAAGGAATCACTGTCTAGTTAGTAGAGTATGCCAGGGACATCAACGATAGTTGGAAACGTGGGATAATTTATGCATAACGGGCTTCGCCCGTTATGCAAATTATCCCACGTTTCCAACTATCGGCTTCGCCCGTTATGCAAATTATCCCACGTTTCCAACTATCGTTGATGCCCTGGCATACTCTACTAACTAGACAGTGATTCCTTAAATATTCTGGATATAAATAGAAGTTAAAAAAGTAAGAAAAATTAAGATCATTTACTTTTTATGTGAAAAAATCCAATACATGAATATATCATAATACATGTACAATGTTCCTATATAGTATTTTATCCTAAAAACTTGCAGTTGTTGATTTTATCCTCTTAACTTGCTGCTGTGGAAGTGTGAGAATTTATGTTGTATTGGGGAATGTTAGAATGTCAGTACCACAGGTCTACTGGAGATACTAGATTTAATTCTATGGAAATAGTATTTCTGTCACTGTGGTTGTTACAGTGATATTACCACTAGTTTATGGTGGAGATAGATTTCTAACGGGGTTGATGTTCTTTGAAAGTTGAACTGCACTCTCTCTCTCCCTCTCTCTCTGAGGAGGGGGACAAGATGCTAATGCTTATTCTTTTGCGGTCTCCTGTCACATATAATATTGTACGGTGGCTAGTGACAAAAGCCATGTTGGAAGAACATAGACGTCGATTTGTCACGGAAATAAATTCTTGATGTGATTAGTTTTACAGTATTTTTGAAAAATTTATTCAGCTTATTTACGATCTCCAATTCGCTAATTCAATATAAAGAATGGTTGGTAATTCTTGAAGAAGATGACTTTTGATGAATACGTGAGTGGGAAGAGTACCCATCAGAAAAATGTCACCTGCGAGGCGATGTCCCAGAAACACAACTTATTAACCTTTCAAACAACTCTACAACAGCTGATACACTCCTTTCCAGTCCTTTTTAATTTATTTAATAAAACATGTTCAAAACAATTAAAACATCTGACACAACATTGCTTGGGGTCCGACCCCCCCCCCCCTTCTCCGAAATATATTTTTAGGAATAATTTATCTTTTTAAATACTTGTACACACATATATTGTAGGAAAGTAAGGGTTTATTCTTCGAAAATTCAAAGGTATAAGTTCGTTTTTTTATGAAACATAAACTAATCAACAAGAAATAGTGAGGATTAATTAACCTGAAGTCAGACCTGTTCAAAGTCAGGCTTTCAGATAACACTCATTGTTCTTGTGGATATACCAATGAAAACACTGAACACTTTTTTTTTGTATTGTAAGAATTATGCTGAAATAAGATTAGAATTATTTCACACTATAAGAAATAACAAAGGAACAATAGACCTTGACACAATTCTATTTGGGGACTCAAACTTGGGACAACAAAATAATATGAACATAGTTAAAGCCGTACACAAATATATTAAAAAATCGAAAAGATTTTTATGAATACCCAGCGTAACCATTCTGTATCTATTACAACCCCTTTCCTTCTTTCTTTGCCCCCCCCCCTTTTCTTATGTCCCTGCACTTTTTTTGTATTGTACATTTGTTGGTTGTACATCACGTGTATATGTATATGTCATTTTGTTTGTGTTGGAGAGGACAATTCTAAGTTGGTAAAACTTGTGTCCAATCCTATTGATTATGTTTCAATAAAATATGTTTAAATACACAATACCTGAATCAAAATTAGGATCTGAAGCAAAGACTATAACTCTACATTAATTGCTTATTGCACATTAATTTAAATGAGTACTAATTATCTCTCCATATATAAACTTTGCTAATTAACCAGACGTGATTAAGACAGGGATGATTAAAACTGTTAATGATGTAAAAGCTACACTGTTTGTTTTTAATTGTTCGTTAATTAAGATCCCCGCTTCTGTTGAGTAAATGTCGACTCTAACAATTCAAAATTATATAAAACTCTTGCTTTCTGTCAGCTTGATCAGTGTTGGAAAACAATTGTAAAGAAAATGGTATGGTTAAATCTAGTTGGTTATAAAGCATTTTTGTATACAATCCTGCAACGTAAAATGACTTAATTTAAACAAAAGGATTATGAAAGAAACCTTAAATATTTTCTGATACAATTTTTTATGAACTCTATTACAGGTGGGATACAATATAGATATTTCGCTACACAATTCTTCATTTGTATTTGAAGAATGGAAGACGTCTAATGTAACAGGTAAGTGTTCATGTGATAACTTATATATAAATATTGTTCTTCCATACAGTTATTTAAAAAATATAAATTAAGGAATAAAAACTAAAATAAGATTTTTTGTATTATATAATAGAAAAATAAACACACTCTCTCTCCCAATTATCAAATTCTTCATTATGATTTTTAAAAGATCGAACGCCATTTTTTTTTTTTTTGTAAAAAGTTAGGAAAACATTGCATCTATAACTGTGCTGGCTACTGCATAGCAACAACGTCCAAATTTGGTTTTAAAAATTTCATTTATCCATCTACTAGGTTTGGTGGGGGCCATATTGTTTAGTACAGGGATTTCGTTTCTACACGAAGCCATCACAGTATTTATGAAAATCCAAGAATTCAAACTTCAAAACAGGTAATTCCTTTATTTATTTTTTACAATGTAGATTGATTTTTTTCTCTCACTTGTATATAAAATTGGTCCGCTGCCAGGAAACATGAAAGTCTTTATGATGATGCAAAATTCATTTTTTAAAATCCTTTCACGAAGGATTCTTAGGGATGTAATTAAATATCCTTTCTTACAATAGTGCATGGAAACCCACTAAAATTTCTGAACAAATAATCTCTAAGATATTAATTTGTTTATATTCGTTTCAGACGTCACAAAGTTCCAGTGCACCTCGGTTTATCGGCCGCTCACGTGATCCTGACATTTCTTCGCGTCATCCTCGTCCTGGCTGTTTTATCTGGAAACATCTGGGTGTGGATATCAATAGGTGTGGGAACTGGAACAGGATACTTTTTTATGAGACCATGTCTTGTCTGCAAAACACGCGAAACAACGAGCGATTATGACGTCACCAGTGAAGGACGTGTTCGATTGCAGACGGTCAGAAAATTAGGTCACTACAGCGTGCAGAAAATAACACAACAATCCAAAGTCACACAGAAGGAGAAACAAGACGTTTATTTCAGACAAACAACAGAACACAACAACAATACGCATGATACAGATAAACAGACACAACCCCTTCTAAACACAGCACCTCAAAGTGCAGAAAGGTCAAATCTCAGCCCTCAAGAGTCAATGACCTTCCTCCCCAGCGCTCAACCCACGATACAGAACATGAGCAACGAGGAACGCTGGGATTACATCCGGGAAACTTTCCAAAAGCTGTCCCGATCTCATCTGTATGAAGGTTTAGAAAGACAGCGTCGGCAGCAGGATAAGAGTTTTGTCCCCTGTGATAGTCCACTCAACTCCAGCCAGCCACGGTGGGAGAGCTCGTTTGACGCTTCTACGGTGGACATCCAGGACCTTCTGAACGAAGAGGAGATGATCAGGACGGTGGGAGATCCTGCGAAACTTTAAATGTGTGACTAACTATCTGTAAAAATTATAAGTTCTGACCTTGTTATCCCAGCCTATTTATTACTAAGTAATTTTATTGCAATGTGAAATGGTTTTTTTTTTTATTTTTGTAGAAAAAAGCTTACGTTGATAAATTATTTTCTTCATTTCTGTGTGTATATATGTATTTTTTATTTAGATATGTTAAGACGATGCTTCTGTATGGGAAGGAGTTGGGGTCATATACATGTGTTTAACCCAAACCCAGGACATCGAACATCTTAAACATAAACCTCCTACGGTTCGACCATGTTCTTCTTTACCGCTTCAACTATAGTCAACGACGAACTTAAATAACTTATTTTAGAAGGACCGACATCTAAGGAACCCCGATCTTTCAAATGATGACAAATATTCAGAAACATTGCGAATTCTTTCGAAGATTTAGAGGGTCAAATACGAAGGAGAAAACTTTGACACTGTCAGAGTGAATTAAAAATATAAGGTAGATGTTAACGGTTGAGGGGCAATATGAAAAAAATCTCTCTTTCTATTTTCATTCAGAAGTGATGAAAGAATTAGATACATGTAGATAACATGACCAATACATGTAGATAACATGACCAATATGTATTGGTCCCATGCAGCTGACAAAGCAGATAACAACATAGTCTTTGTAAGGCTCATTAATTGCATTTCGGATGAACTTGCATTTAATTAAGGACTCTAAATATTAAGTTTATATATTCCAATTTCATTATTGGGATCCAGTCATTTACCCCGAGGAGAAATGTCCAAAGACAACAATTTTTTGATGACCAGAAATCACAGATCCTTACTTAAGTGGGGAAGATACATACAAATCGTGATAGGTTCATTTAGATTGTGGACTGAAAAAATGCTTAAAGTGCATTAATTGATAAGAATTTTAGTAATTTACTGTAGATTTTAATTTATTTAGTAATAGATCTAAGGAAAGATCACTGTAAATGCATAAAATACCATGAAATTAGAAATTTTTAGTGTGCAGTGTATACTGGGACCACAGCTTAAAACATGAAATGGATAAGAATGGACTAAACTGTTACTTTGTAGTGGAAATCGATGAAATAGCACAATTACAGATTAGATATGTGAAATTTGCTAATACATACCATATGTGGATCCATGTATTTCTTCCGAAAGTGGGGGGGGGGGGGGTGTCACTAAAAAAATTCAGACTCGGATATTTTTTGACAATCGAGGGGAAAAACCCATCAACTTTTCTAAACCTTATAAACCCTTTCTTGTGTGTGTGTGAGGGTGTGTGTGTGTGTGTGTGTGTGCTTTCGCGGAAGTGGAGGGGGGAGGGTTCTGTCGCTTATCTTTACAGATATATATAATTCATCCAAAAATCCCAGGGGATCGAACCCAATGATCCCCATTTACCACTCACATCCGCACATGCATATGATGGCATATGGACCTAGAAACAACATGTACTAATGTGTTTTACAAGAAAAGAGAACTGTTTAGAACGGAATTTACGATATCTTAACTTAGATATTCCTAAGATACTTTCGTTTTACACTCTTAGACGTATCTCAAGATAGTCCTAAGTAATATCCTAAGACACGTCTTAAGACACAGGAAATTTTCATAAGCATGCCTGCTGGTCTTCAAACAAACTGTTGGAAATCCGATGAACACTAATTGTGCTCCTTTATTAGCCGACCTGTTTTTATATTCCTATGAGGGAGAATTTATTCAAAAACTTCTATATGAGAAGAAGAAAACACTTGCTGTGGCCTTCAACTCGACGTTTAGATACATGTATATCGACGACTTATTATTTATCAACAATAGTTACTTCCATTCATATATCCCAGTGAACTTGATATAAAAACACCAAAGAGTCTACCACATCTGTTTCACATTTGGTTGTTTTACTGACTTTAGACGATAAAGGCAAACTAATAACTTAACTGTATGACAAACGAGATGACTTCAGCTTTTCCATCGTCAAATTTTTCTTATTTATATAGTAATATATCCCACTATCACCTGCATATGGTGTTTACATCTCCCAACTTATTTGACACTCTTGAGCATGCCCCGAGTACGATCAATTTATAAACCAAGACAAGCTACTGACAGATAAGTTGATGTTACTCGGATTTCAACAACCTCGTTTAATGTCAGCATTTCGTAAATTCTATGGTTGTTATAATGACCTTGTTAGCAAATATAATCTGCCATTGGATCGTATGTTGGCAGACGTGTTTCATACCAATTGTTGGACCTTTGTTTTTATACAGACTTTGACTACGGAATGTTTCATCTACCTAATCTATACATATGGTTCATGGCGGATATGACCGGTCAACAGCTTATTCCTCTTGGGCACCTGATCCCACCTCAGAAATTTCCAGGGGTCCCTGTTTTGTGCCCTCTTTACATGTATTTTTTATAGATTTTTGAGATTGACACTGTTCGTCATCATGATTCGATATATCAAATTGATCTCAAAATAAAAGACACCACATAATCTGACAAATCTGCTTCACATATGAATATTTTACTAGAAAACGACATTGATGGCAAACTAACAACTAAACTTCAATTTTTTTTATCGCCAACTTCCCTTATCTATGTAATATTATAACATTATCACTTGCATATGGAGTTTATGTCTTCAAGTTTCTTCTTATACTAAGTTCGAACAATTTTTAAAACTAGGCAGGCTATTGACAAATGATTTGATGTAACAAAGGTATCAACAATCTCGTTTAAAATCAACATTTTGCAAATTTTATATCAGATACAATGACTTTGTTTACAAATACAATCTTTTTTTTTCAAATCGAATGTAATCTGACGTCTTTCATACATATTATTCGGCCATTATTTTCACAATGATTTGTATACAGACATTTCCGTTTACCTAATCATTTTGATGATGGCAAGGGACATACATCAGGTGTGACCGGTAGACAGGGGATTCCTCCATGGCACCTGCTCCCACTCTGTTTTTCAGAGGTAAATGATGGCTCTGTTCACAGTTTGTTTTGTTCAAATGGACTTTGAGTATGATCTCTGTTCCTTTTCTTCACATTTCATCGAATACATTTGTTATATGTCCTAGATGAGTATGAATAATAGATGAATAATATGTATGAACTACCATTCATATGTTGACTCATATATCCCAGTGAGCTTGAAATGAATGAAATGAAAGATACCCCAGAGTCTGACACATCTGTTTCATATTTTATATATTTTTGTAGAAAAAGACTAATGGTAACCTGACAACAAAGCTTTATGATAAAGCTTTCTGATAAACGATAAACATAAGTAAGGGAAGTTGACGATTGAAAAGTTGAAGTCATCACGACTTCAACTTTTCAATTATCAACTTTCCTTACTGATGTAGCAATATACCCTTACTACCTGCATATGGGGTTTATGTCTCTCAGTTTATTCGATACGCATGAGCATGCTCTACCTATGAACAATTTCCAAAACTAGGCAAGCTACTAATTGACAAACTAGATAATGAAACACGGATTTCAACAGTCTCGTTTGAAGTCATCATTTCGCAAGTTTTATGGTCGATAGTGTTAGGCCACTATTTACACACTGTATTGTCTAAGGATTTTCCAGTTTTTTCCCGATCATGACAGGGAGCACAAGGCGGGTGTGACCGCTCGGCAGGGATGCTCATTCCTCCTTGGCACCTGACCCCACCTCTGATGTGTTTGGAGGTCCGTGTTTGCTCTGCTCCCGATTTGTATTGTTTGAATGGACTTTGAGCCTGAATATACTATACAATTATTGGTGTTTTTGAGGTCAATACAATGATTAACCAGCTGAGGAGTACAATATTTACCGAGCTCGAAGGGCCAAGTGAATATTGTACTTCGAAGGTGGTTAAATCATCATATTGACTGCAAAAACAATAATTGTCTTATTATATGATTCAATGATTTAATTATTCAAACTCATTCAGCAGTTCATGCCATCTTACTTATTTACATTTGCTGACGTCTTAGCCAAATGCAATGAGAGAAGCAGGGATAAATAAACATTACCAGACGTATTAATTTGGAATTTTTTAAATCTACTTTAGTTGTTACGAAAAAAAGAAATAATATCAGGCTCTTTTATAGAATAGATTTTGAAAGGGTTGGGGGCATTATCAGAGAAATTGACAGCTGAAAAAATCTTTGATTAGCCCCCACGAAAAGAGAATTCTTTTTAACTTCAAATTTTGTTTTGGGGTTGGGGAGGGGTACGTTAGGGGTGGGGTATTAAGGTCCATTAGTGGGGGACCAGCCTTTCAATGAATATTTTTAGTCTAAATTAAAAGTAATTATTTACGTTTAGAAAAAAATTGTTTGGAGGGGGGGGGGTCCCTACACACCTACCCACCCCAAATTATATATTCCCTAATGTTATTTTCACCTGAGTGGAAGTCGGTAGCAAGTGAAATAGCTTTCCAAAACTATTTTTATCAACTGAAATTTCCCAATCTATTTTTAGACCAATGTAGAGAAAATAAATCCTTGCATTCTCCTGGAAGGTCACGTTCATATGAATATAACGTCGTATTTTCTCTTTATTGTTAGATCTCAACCAATCAGAGAGATAGGAATTATTCAATCATATAATAATGTTCATTATCTCCATATTTCATGCGAGAGAATGTGTGTCCCTTTAAAGCCCGACAACCGTAGAGTCAACAATCAATAAAGAATACAAGATAAGATCTGTAAAACTAAAAGCAAGCAAGAATTCCCATAGCCTTAAAATAGAAGAAGAAAAATCTAAATACCAAATGGATTCTTTCACTTCTTTGTGAGTATTAAAACAAACCAAGTTTTCAAGGAATAACTTTGCATTTAAAATATCGTATTTCTTGAGACTAGCTACTGGATTATTTACGATTGATGGAAATCTGTCATTTATATGCTTGTTGATTCTATGTTTTTATTACGCATGAGATAGATGAGAAGTAAACTTTTAAAATTAATAGCCTTAAGTGAAAAAAATATGAATTGATGTCAATCAAAAAATAACTGAATAAATTAAGATAATTTATGTCTTGTATCATGGATATAATGTACTT